AATGTAATCGTTGTCTGTTGAAACGCCTTCAGCTTGCCAAACAGCGGTGCACAAGAAATGCCACGAGAAGCTTCTAAGCAAATGTTCCGGCTCTGTATTCAACTCGGCCAGCACGATAGTAAGTCTTTTAATAAAACTACGCAACCGGAATGGGTTTATGACAACTAGCTTTGTACTCACCCTCACCAAAAATCACTTTCTATATGTATGTATATGTAAATTACAGCTGCTGCGCGAGCGCTTCAAAATCGACATGCCACATCGTTTCAAGCCGTACACCTTTATGTCACCCACATTTTGTGATCACTGCGGTTCTCTGATGGCCGGTTTCTTTATACAAGGTCTCAAATGTGAAGGTAAGTCTTTGTACCGCTAAAAATCACAATTTTCAAAATTATTTTCCGGAAGCGAAATTTTTGGCACACGCGCACGCACTGAAAATAAATCACTCTGACAACTAGGGAAGTCGTAAGCTTTCTATTCTTGCGTCACTTACCGGTGAATAGATTCAATATGCTTTAGCTTAGCACGGACATCAACCGCTAAAATAGCGCACGTAAATTAAATATCGTAAACTTTTTGTGTCCAAGCAGAGAACGTGTATTCTACGTTCTCTTATTCTACCAAATAAAAGAGATAATGTTTGAACTTTTTTAACACTAAAAAAAAAATTCAATGCCAACTTCGAGAAAATTTTCGTTTTTAGAAACAAGTTCCGGTTAATACATTAAATTTTAATAATTTCAAGGTATGCTTTTCCTTTATGGTTCCAGTCTGTGGGAAAAAAGAATGATAAGGGGTGGTAGGGGGTACTACCCTCTCTCAGAAATCGAAAACCAAACCTACCGCAGACCTATAGTTTTCGAGATATTTACAATTGAAATAGCAAAAAAATTTAATTTTTACCCTATTATTTTGTACATAGAGCCAATATTGTGAATTTTAGTGTTGCCACATATAAAAAAAAAATTCTAAAATAAAACAGCTAGAATAAAATTTTTATACTTTATATGTATATTTGACGGCTTCTATAAGTTTTTTTCAGATTTTTGCCACTAGTATTCAAGAATCATATCGGCGAAATTCGCCGGATTATTGTTGTTATCTTTTTGAAGAAACCTTTTGATAACTCTCTACTGGGACTTAATACGTTGAGTATGTGTGCCATCCTGTGCCACAAACGGGTTATCCGGATCACTTTGATTCGTACCCGTAGCTGGAGAGACAATCATACGCTTTCCAGCAATCGGTATGTATGATTGTCCCTTCAGCTACGTGTTTTTGGATGAGTGGTACGAGCACCTCTGCCGATCGCACGTTGTCCGGGCACACCCCCAAACGTAGATCCTCCGAGCCGCCCTCGATTATTCCCAAAACCCAATGGCCTTCGACCCGTCCCCCTAAAAAAAAATTAAAAACAATGTTAAGACCTCTATAATAACATAATTATAACTAATACCTTTATTATACTTCCGTTTCCCTGCAGTAACTGTACTAATCCGTGATGGTCCGGCTCGATAAGGGCCCGCCAACGTAATCGTCGAGCATTACGTCGCATTGCGATTCTTTTATGGGAAGGATATCCGAGCCTCCTCAAACCAGCCGCTGCGTAAAGAATTATGCTCAGCACATATATTCATACAATTTTAAACGCAATTAGACTTACCACACTCGGTGTCACTCATTTAAATTTGAATTAATTTTAGACAATTGTTTTGAAAAATTAGAAATCTCACTGATTCGATACTTTTAATATACAAAATTGAAAATAACGGTAGTTAATTTTTCACACGAAAAAAGAAAAACGAAATTTTACCGTTATTTGGCTTTGCTCTTATTTCTTTAATCTTAAAAGATGCCACATCTGTAAAAAATAACGCCGGCTTTGCCTTGCATAGTATTTTTAGGCGAAACTCCTGCGTAAGTTAGCGGCCTTTGATTGTAACCCTGAGCCGGACCAACACCGGCTTCGCCTTGCACAGTATTTTTAGATGAAAATCCCTTCTGCTAATTTTAATAAATAAACATATATTAGATCAACAGCAACTACTCCCGCAAATTTCATTAGGATTGGTCAATTAGTTTGGCTGAATCAAGCATTGGAACCATAATGGAAAGCACTGCCCAGTTAACCACAACAACAACATCATAAGACCGTTCAAAATTTTTTTGATACACTCACCTGATAATGATTCTGAGAGCATTGGTAAACACTGGTTTTGCCACTGGTTTTGTGTCAGTGTGAGACTTCTGTTAGGTTGGTCTAAACCGCAACCCAGACATTTGCCATTTAGTAGACCAATGATTACATCTAAGTCCAAAAAGCTATCCACCATCCAAACTTATCTTCGGCCAAAAGTTCCTTCGACATATCTGTGTCAAAAACACCAAGTCGATCAGAAAGACCGGATTCTTTCGTGGATTTCGTCCTAAATCAGCCCAATATGGTATCTGAAGATAGCGACACGAAGCTCAGCGAGACTAAGGCTAAGGGAAACTGAATGACCACAAAAAGACTTGAGCGGGCACTGTTTTGTGAATGAGTCATAAAATTAAAAAGAATGCATAAATAAAGGTGTTATGTACGGATTATTGTTGTAGACTGAGACTGTAACTTAAGCCATGAAATTTTTCTAAATGTAGACTTGTAGCCATCAAACCAACGTATGTGCTATTTTACTCAAGTCTCCAAAGATTGTCGCCCCTAGAGACTTCGGCCTCCTTCTCCAAAGGGCGGGGCGTTCGTAGAGGAAATGATTTAAAGTCTTTCGTTCTTCCTCTTCGCTGCAGCTAGCTAGAAGACCCATCAACATGGACGACCACTTTTTCGACCTTTTCTTGTTCCAAGGGAGGAGCAACAAGCACAAACTCTTTCATAATGGCCTTAGGCTACATTTTCATTTACTGCAGAGACATTTCACGTGGAACGAGCGTGATGCACAGGCCTTGCAATATCTGTAACCGATCCAGTTGCTTGAGTAGTTGGACAATTATGTGCACCATAATCTCCTCCGAAGGCACACAACGTGTCCCGGTTTGATTCATCGTTTGTGTTGTAGATCCAGCGATCCATTTTCATAAATGCCTCATTTTTAGCTAGAACAAAACATGTTTTGTTTAACAATTAAGATTTGCAGACAGATGCGAAATCACGAAATGGATAGCCCTATACAGGGAAAAATCTAACGGTCTTATAGTTCTGCGGCACCTTCTCCATTGTGGCATGGAAAAAATTGTTTCGGAACCTTTATCAGGTGGGTTGACCTTAAATTCCTGAACGATCTTGAAGAATTGCAACAGAGTGTAGTTTCAAAGTCGAAATGGCAGTATTTGTATTTTGAAAGACACAAATGTATATTCAACGGCGGCAGCACCGACAATTTTATGTTCTTTCGGGAAATAATTGTTTACCGGAAAATATGAGTTTATTACTGCGAACAACTAAACAACAAATTCTTTGAATTCGAGAATCTGAAAAACCAAGACCCCACGACGTGCGAGAGACTATTTCATGTGTTTTATCAATACGCGGGGGGCTTAGACAAAGAGGGGAGAAGGACCAACACCAGTGGGTTATTTCCATTGAAGTTGAACTGCGAGCGTCTCGACTAGTAAAAATATTTCCTCAGAGAGCAGATATTAACACAAATAAGAAATTCATTTTTATTTACTTTTTGTTTTCGCCTATCAGAAGGAAAACTGGCATACTCGTACAAACTCAAGTAGATAAAATTTTAATGCATTTACAAAATCATTAATTAATCAGCGGCAACAAGCAAAGAATCATACATAAATTAATTTGATAGTTGTTTATTACAAGATACATTTATTCTACATTCGAGTGGATTATTTTGAAAAATTCGTTTGCACTGACGACTCTCTAAAAACAAACCGCCAGGATTAGATGTTCAGCACCGAAATAAACTGAGCGCGTACATTGGTGTTGCTTCATATTTTGTTTATTTATGAGGCGATGTCGTGATCACCACCGCCGCCGCCGTCGCCGCCATGCCAATTAACACACATTCAAACATGCATGAGGCTGCTACGTCTCACCGCCAGCCAATAGAGCCGTCCACATATCGGCAGCGTTGAAAGCTGAACGTCACTAGAGTCTCAATTGTTTGTTTGTGTATGTGTGTGTGTGTGTGTGTGTGTGTTTCTTCGTAGGTGTGTTCACATTGGCATGATTTCTGTCAATTCCCCCGACGCGGTGTGTAGAGCGGCTGGGGATATTCGCTTACAGCACGATTAGATACAGTTAAACGTCACAGCGAGTTTGACGTTCGCATTACACGGTTGCGATAGTTTCTGAGGAAGCCGGCCAACTGCGAATTATTAGCGGATTCTTTGCATTTTTGCTGAGTTGGGACGCACGACAGATGTATCGTGCCGCAAACATACATACATACAAATGTACTTAAGTACATATGTACGTGCAGATATCGCTGTAAATAAAATAGCCAGCTGAGTAATGAGTTGCCGGCGAAGATTTTGACATGTTTCGATAACAAAAATGATATCACTCACCGCGCGCCGTCGGCCGATTCGAGAGAGTAAAATGTATGTATGATGTATTTTGAGATTTAAAATTTTCACAATTCCACTTTTGAAACACGACAAGTCACGAGTTATGGGTGTACACGATTTTACGCTTTTCTCATTTCGCCAACACCACAGCTATCTGCAGTGCACCACACCGAGCCGCCGCCTCGACGATCCCTGACAGCGCGCTCCACGACGATTCGCAGATCTGAGCAACGCGAGCGTTTGTTGTTTTAAAAATGTTTGGGCTAATTTTCAACGCCTAACCTATGTGTCTATATCTATATACATTTGCATATCAATACATACATATAAACATATGTATATGTGTGTGTGTTTGCATGTTAATATGTTCTGCTCATTCCGAAAGGCACACATTCAGCTGAACGTGCATAAGACTCAATTGTGTATTTTCGCATCTTGGAACATTTATTTAACGCCGCGTAGCGCGCGCCAGTTGGGCGGTGAGTGCGTCGGGCGGCCGTGTCTTCGCCAACCGCGTCGAGGTGTCGAAGGCGATCTCTCTGTAGCGCACGAACGGCTCAGCACCAGGAAAACCTCGACGGCCACCGCAGTTATTGTGGCGGCTTCCTGCCAGGCGGTTCGCGGTACGCTCTAACATTGGAAAATTCAAATAGTCGCGTAGTGAAAACAAATTCATATTCAGAAATCATATTCCTGAGTACGTGTGGCGCTGTATGTGTGTTTGCTTTTTCCTGCCTCTGACTATGTGCTCATTATTTATTATCCAAATTGTTTATAAAATTATTAATTTGTTTTAACATTTTCAAACATCCTAAAACATTGCTAAAAAAAAAAACGAGCTCAAACTTTTTCCTGGCCATTTTGTATTGAAGAAACCACTCGAAAATTTTAGTAAGCCTCTTACGTCATGCGGAATAGTGTGTAGTGATGGAATTAGAATTAGAAAATTGGCTAAGCTCTTTTGAATACACTTTTTTACTTATGAAAAATTAAAACATTTTAATTTATGATATTTTTGTGCAACATTTGCTTTTCCAAATACGCAAATCATTCTTTAAATATTAAAAAAATATTATTTTGTTTTTGCCATAAGGTTCCGCTATGAGAACGTAATTTAAAAAATAAATAAATCAACAGAATGAAAATTGAAAACGAAATAAAAGAACAATGCAAATCAATAATTTATCCAAATTAAAGAACGAAAAATCCATTATCATTATGAGCTTTGGGTTCAAGAAGGTTCGAGGTTGTGTTATTTTTAATAAAGTCCATTTACCTATTCAAATCACATTTGAAAAAAAAATCATTTATAAATTATATATATGTATGTATGTGGATGCATACATCGAAACCAAAAGAAAATGGTTTTTGTTTAAGCTCATTTGGTTTTCCACGATCACAATAATTACGCTTTTCAGTTGAGTTTCTTTTTATTATTTCTTGCATTAGGCGTTGTAATCGCTATCAAGCGTAGGTTTGCCCTCAGCTGAGACTCTATAGAGAACATATTTTCTCAACAGTGTATTTACATGTATTTCGGCTGAGCCCCTCCTCCGATTTGTAGTTAGCGCCTTGAAGGTTTTCCAAGCAATGGAATTTCATGCCAGAAGTACACTCAGAGGGCTTGACATTCCCTGCCGAGGGGCGACCGCAATTAGAAAAATTAATTTTCTATAATTTTAGATTTTGGTCGAACCAGGACCCCAAACCTGGTCTTCAGAGATATAGTACGCAATGCGCACCACTTGCCTTCTGTAAGGCTGGAAGATTATGACATCGAAATTAAGTCAAGCCAAATGTGATTTCGGACTTTCAGAGAGCAATTTTAATTAACTAAGACTTCCAAAGCAAAAATTGTACTAAAAATACATGAAATAATTTTCGTTTAATAAATTAATCAATTAACCGTTTGTATTCGATTAATCATAATTTTAATTAATCAATCAACCGTTTTCTAAATCAAATTGGGGCAATTCAGGAAGTCGTTAGGGGCTGCAATTAGATTAATTCTTAAATTCTTATTTGTTTAAACAAAGTCAATTTAATCTTGTATCTGCTTGTTTAATCGGACAACCATAAAATGATTGAATGATTTCAAATTATTTCAATTAAATATTACAAAATCCTGATACATTGGCACATACATACATATGTACACCAGACTGCATCTATTGCACAACTAACGATTAGCACTGACCACTGAAACGAATTGCTCAACTAAAGCGAAAGTGAGTCACATCGTCAGAGGAAAAGTAAAAGCACCATAAATTTGGCACACGTGAAACCGTTAAAATAATACAATAAAAAATTAATATGTTCCGGCAAGAGATAATTTAAGGCCTTTGGAAAAAAGAACAAAGACTGTTTTGTTATAAATCGCAAAACATCTATGTCTGTGTGTACACAGATACGAACTTATAGTAGTGATGAATAAGAATTAATTACCCGAACGAAAAAGCATTCTTCCTGAAAATTATCAAAAAAGAAAAGAAAATAAAATAAAATACAGTATAGGCACATAGATACAAAGGAACATTTCCAAATTTCAAATAAGTCTTGCAATAAAAATATACAATTCTTCGGTGAATGATGAAAGCCACCGTCCGTCATCGTCGCAGTCGCAGTCGCAGTCGCAGTCGAACGTGAGAGATTTGTCGCGCGTTTCTCGAGGTGTCGCTAAGAATAGAATCATTTGTACCAGAAGACGAAGAAGCAGACTGTGTGCACAACAAATTTATGGTGTGTAAACGTACATACGTACATACATACATACATACATGCACACAAGCGTACGTTAGGTTAATAATAATTAAGTGACAAAAACGTTAATAAAATACAAAATATTGCAAATAAAATATATTCGTGTAGCAAATAACGCTAATTACAGTTAAATTTACAGAGGAAAAACTTTACGAATCAAGTGATTAATTTATTTTGAACGGCACAAGAACAAGACGCACCACTATGCCTCTCTACACGGATCAAGGCTATTACTATAGTGGCGGTAGCAGTCAACTCTACGCACCCTACTACACCCCGGGTCTCTACACTACACCCGCGACGAGCTCTTCGAGCAGCTCTTATGCGCCCTACTCGTCCACCTATAATCGTACTTTCGGCGGCAGCTATATACTTCCATTGACACCGCCGCGCACGCCAACCTACACCACAGCACACAGCTTGGCCTCCCGCTATCAGCCGAAATTATCAACAATAACAGAGACATCCGCGCTCATCAGTTCAAGACACGGCGGTACACTGCCGCTCACACGCATACATTCGCCGAAGGTTTCATCCTACACGGCAGCGACCACAACAAACACAGCAAAATATGTGCCACCGCGCCCCATACCAATTAATACGGCCGATATCGATGTATCCTCAAGTCGATATCAACACCACAAAGATGAGAAGGCAGAAAACGAGAAGCTAGCTCAACAGGATCGTAACGGCAGACGTAACAGTATTGAAAAGAAGGAGCAGGAAAATACGGAAGCTAAAGAGGAATCAAAGGTTCAAGAGAACAGAGGCAGGCGCTCCACCATTAAACGCGACCGTCCGGTGGTACGTTTGTCCACAATACGTTCACGCAGTAAAGATCGCAATCGCGCCACAAAGTCTACATCTTCAGGTACGGACGACTCTCCGGAGACAAAGTCGAAAGTGTTCAAGGATCTACCCACAATAGAGCCACTGCACACAACTGAAACGCATATCAGTTGGCGACAGAAGTTGGCTGATGAGTTGGCAGCAGCACCTATATATCCTGCCAAGAAATCACCGGGAGATTTAATACGCGAACGCTATCTCATACAAGACGCCTTGACCGCGGATCTCAATAAGACTGAACACAGCAAAGAAGCTGCAGCGAAAAGTGATGATAACAACTTGACACCGTTAACTGATGAGGTAGTTATCGAATTGGATGTGGATCCTACTAACAATACGATACGCCGCTTAAGCATACCCCAATGCCCCACCTTCCATGATATCTGCAAAGACATCTCTTCTGATAAAATTGATGACGACCTCAACGCAGGCGAACTAAGACGTCGCGCATCGCTAATACAAGAACAAGAGCAAGAAATATTAAACCAACTTCAGAAGTCCGCATCGGGCACTTTCCAGTTAATACACTTAGAAAGACGTGATAGTCATGATAGCCAGGCAGAGGAGGATCAACGGCAATCGACAAAGAAGCGTAAGTCGAAGAAAGGCAAGAAGATTAGACATAAAATTACCGCAGTCGTTGAAGTGGAGAACTCGCCATTTCTACCAGTATTACAAGAAAAAGAAGAACTCTGTGTTACGCCGGCTGGCAAAAGCTCTTCGCCGAAACCAAAGTTCACATTCAACGTCGAGTCTATGGATGAACATCATGAGATTAACACCTTCGTTAAGCTGCCCAAAAGGAAAAGTGTTAAAAGGATCGCGAGACCTAAGGAAGTCATACTACCCGAAGGATTCATGCAAGCAAGTCCTAAAACGAAGGCCCAACTCAAAACCAAATCACCTCCGAAAAAGAAAACCTTTGTCAGCACTGCAGAGATCTTCACATTTGAGCCCTCAAGTATAGATCTATATGCCGCCAGCAATGTAACACCGAGTGAAATAGTTGAAAACAAATGTACGAAAATTGAAGCCGATACAAAGATAAGCCCGAAGCCAACTATCCAACCTGTAAAGGCGAAGGCCTTAACACCCTTGAAAACCTCAAATTCACTGGACTCCGCTTTGAACAAATCTAAAGCCGATATTGTCCTATCAACTTTAGAGAAATCCCAATCTCTCGATGCCACGAACGTTGGAAAACCACCTGAATTGCTAACCCCCGTCGTGAGTATTCCAAAAGTCGGAAAATCAAAAACAGAAATACCAAAAGTTGAAGCACCTAAAGTCAGAACAACAAAAGTGGGAGCACAAACTGCTGAAACACCAAAAGGCGGATCATCACATGCTGAAAAATCAAAAGTCGAAACACCGAAAGTCGAGACACCGAAAGTCGAAACACCAAAAGCCGAGACACCTAAAGTTTCATCGGCAACCGGAAAAGAAAGTCAACATATTGCGGTGGAAAAATCAGACAGTGGGGAAGATTTTTGGGCCCAAATTGGCAAACGGGAATCAGTCTATATGACAAATCGAAAAAAAAGTTTAATTGAGAACCAGTGGCAAAAATGCGAAGAGCTACTCGAATCTGAAGCTGTGGAGGACGTGAACAATATTGAAGAGATCAAGTCTGTGGTAACGGCACAAAAGAATGAAGCACTAAAGAAAGCCGATCAGGATATGGCTAAGATCAATGATAAGGGTGTAGTTGGCAGATCTCAATCTACCGAATCCAATGTATCCTCTAGAGACAAGAAGGTTCCGAAGAATTCGAAAGTATCAGATAAAATGGAGCAACGAGAAGTCGCCGCCAAGAAACCACTGGCAACAACAACTCAAAAATCTTCTGTCAATATAAAATTAGAAACAGAAAATTTGACAACAACAACACCAATAACAACCGCATCGTCAAACGCGACGGCAGCTGCAACAAGCGCCGCGTCTAAAATAAATTCTGGGCAAGCAGCCAAGTCACCTGAACAAGAACCGAACAAATTTACGACACAAGTGAACAACGACAACGACAGTGAAAGCAACGTCAAAGCAGATAAACCGATATTATTCATTAGCCAAACAAATACAGCAACAAAACAAACAGCAACAAGTACAAAAACAACTGCAACAGAAATACAAACACCAACAACACCGAAATCCATTACTCCAACGGCCGAGGGTAATCTGAAAGTAGCTGAAAAGTTGGCAACATCCAACGAGGCGCAAGTAATCGGCACAACAATCGAGGCGAATACAAAACCAACAGTCAGTGGAGGCAACAAGCCGGAAGCACGAATAGCGGCACCAAAGGAAGTGAACGTAAAATCGGATAGCTATGAGAAGAAGAATGTTGGAGCCACCTTGCCAACCACACCGACCCTAGCACCACCAACTTTGGCTGCGTCCACCGCCCCCGGCGTCACTGGTACCAAGCCAAAAACTGCCCCCAAATCAATAGCAACAACAACAAAACCACAAGTCACGAAACCAATTGGCAAATCAAAGGCGTCTCCTCGGAGCGCGCCACCAGTGACACCCATCAATGCCGATCAATTCATTTCGGTAGCACCCCCAAAGTCGGCTACGTCACCGACTAAAACTAAAACGACGTCACCACAGAATACGAAAGCAAAGGGAAAACAAACAACAACGCCACTCGCCAACAGGGCAATAAACAAAGAGGAACACGAGAAAGAGAAAGTGACTAAAACAAAAATATCGCCGAAAACAACAGCCACAGCAGCTCCACCGTCAGTAGCAGTCATGCCGAAAGTAGCGACAACAGCTGTCGTTGCCATTACTGCAACCACAACAACGACGGCGACAAAGCTACCAAATGCCACGACGACGACGACGACGACGTCTTCCACATCCCCAGAGTCCGCAACAGCCCCAATCATATCGCCGCCGCCAGTACCGGTCGCCACAGAATTGCTAGCGCGCCGCAAAAGTCACGAAGATGCCGAAGACGACGGCGAGAACAATCACAATAAGCACCAGCAGGCACACGCGCCAAATAATTTATCAAAATTCGCAACAGTACAGAATTTGGCACAGTGTTTACAAGACGTTGACGCTGATCTAGAAGACTACATACCGTCATCTGCGGAAAATAGCGATGACGAGGACAGTTCAGACAATTACTCCAGTGTGGACGGTTGTGATTATCAAAATTTGAGTGCAAGCATGAAGAAGAAAGTGCGACAACGACGCAAAAAGGAGAAACAGGCCGAACAGGCGCGTTTCGATCCGCAAAAGAAAATTAAAATCGATCCCTCCAACAAGTGTTACGTGAAAGAGGAGGCACCGCGATATCCGCTTGTCGCGACTCCGCGCCCACTATGGAAACGCGAGAAAATAGTGTATCCCGTCGAGGATTCGGATGATGAAAGTGGTGATAGTGATGAGAGTGGATCGGGTAGTGAAGAAACCGAAGACAGTGAAGAGTGCACCACGTCCGAGGAATACGAGGACGACTTGAGTACCAACGCCAGTAGTGGTGCGGCCACTGGCAGCAATGTCTCAAAGGAGAATTCCGCAATTATACGTTTAAGTACCTGCAGCAATGATTCGGGTTTTGAAGGCGGCACTGCGCCCTCTAGTCCCAAAAAGATGCTTGGTAAGTTCAAAGTACAGGGCAAAGTACAAAGTTACAAAAGGTGGTTACTTTCGATGGCCAACGGTTTAAGATTCCTTTGCATATTCACTTCGAAGGCGGCCGTACGTGTAGACGGTCAGATGAGCAGACGTTGGAAAAATATGCAGATACGTCAATGGGAGACATTTTTCTCAATCTGTTGCCAGAAATTTTACTTGTTTATATGCCCAAGTAAAAAGGCGTATGTATGTATATTAGGGTGAACGAGAAATGTATGCGGAAGTAGCGTTGAGAATTGTCTCGTGTGCACCCCACGAATGGTGAAATATACAGAAATGTAAATCAAAATTACTCAATAATAACAAGAAAGAGTAGAAATAACGGTATCATTAAAGTTTTACATTTTGCCATACATTCGAGTAGATTTCATAGAAAACGAAAAAATTCTCAGAAAATCTCTCTAAACAGATACTTTAAAAAAAAAATATCAATAGCTTTTCTTAAGAATCTATCTTCGCTGTAATTCAAAATCTTTTGGTAAAAATACTACATTGTCGAACACCCTAATGAAAATACGTATCCCCCGTTTATGTTTGATTATACAATGAAACGAATTGTGTTTGGATTTACTCAATCCGAAATGGTTGAGATTACTCGCGGAGATTTTCGAATCTTCCGCTGCCGCTGTAGGCGTAGGCGTAGGCGTACCAAGAGTGCAGTACTTGCATTTTGCTATAAATTTTTATGTGCGAAAATACACATTTTAAAGTATTTAATATTCTTGTGCAAGTATTAAACTGAAAAAGTAGATACCTAAGGACATTGAACCCGCTTAGATTGTTTGCACTTCTTCCCCTCTTTTTCTATTACTCTCTGTGCAATTTTCGTTTTCACTCGGCGATCCCGTGACTTTTTCACCTGCTTTTCACTTTGTACACATCGTATTCTGAATGATATAAGCAAGGTTAACAATTACTTATTTTATTTGTTTATTTTTTTTTTTCAAAACGGATGCAATTATGGTTAACTTGTTGTTTACATAGCTTAGTTGGCTTTGATCGCTTGAATTTCCCACCCAGAGTTAATTTGTTTACCTCTGTTGGCAATGTTTGTTTATCAAATAATCACTTTTATGCGTTCAGATCAAAAATTGTGAATGAATTTGAAAAACTTTGGAAGGCAGCATTTTGAGGATAATTATATTCTAGAATATCGTTAAGTCCCACAATGTACTCAGTTTATTGTGTGAACCAAGTGATCTTTGGTTGAAATGGGTTAGCCCTTTCGGAGTACCGTAAGGAGAATTCAACGTCTATAGCGTCTAGCGTTGCCAGATAGATCACATATAACCATAATACAATACAATAATTTAAAGGTAGCTTCATTCCCCCTTCGCAGTCAGCTTCGTAGCCATCTGACAGAAATGTAGGAAATTAACCCGCCGTATTTAGAATCGATTTCATAAAGATGAGGATCTGACTGGATTTTTCTGTTTGAATGCAAGACAGTCTAACAGTTTTAGATTTATTTCTACGAATTGTTATAAGCAGTCAGGTTATTGTTTTAATAGTTGTATGATTTTGAAAGTGCTGCTGATTAATTATAAGTATAATATTTCATAAATACTTAACTCTCAATTTACTTATAAAAAAATACAGCTTGCACTTTCTGTTCTTACTTCTTCCGCCTCAGAAGAACAGCTGTGTGTTCAATATTATAGCTTCTGATTAGAACATAACCCACAGTCTAATTAATAAATCTCCAAACTGAATATCTTAAAAGTGGCAAGATCAAGCGATTATGAGTAAATCCCGTTAGTGTGAAGAATTCGAATAATAATTATGACATATAAAACTTACAAGTTTGTTGACAAGAAAATTGGGTAAAAGTCTTTTGAAATATTTAACAACTTTTCTAAATGAAAACTAATAGTTGGAGCTGTGCGAAGTTAGTTTATGTCAATACTCATATCAATGTAAATTTCATAAAGCGTCTTCAATATAGAGAGGGGTTACAAATATTATCCCCTCTTTCGTGGACTGACGGGGACAGTCTAGTGCTTTTCCATTTGTCAAAGCTTCAGCATAACAACTTCTTGCTCTTTGTTAAGTTATTCCAATGCGGTACGCTCTTTCTCTGTCTTTAATGTCGTCCTAATTTTGAATTTATGAGAAATAGTGGAATTAAGTAACTTTATCGACTTGTCGGATCACAAAATTGTGAACTTTGTCACTTGCTATTAATTTTCAACGGGTCCCTGATGGCACCCAGTACCTTTAAGTATTTTAATCAACTAAATCTGCGGTTAATGTATGTAGATTCCGAAACTCAGTCGCATTCAAGTGGAAAGGGTGGTCCACTTCTCGAAGCGAATTTCTATCCAACAAGGGGTATTATATTTCCTCATCTTGGGATAAAACGTATGCCAAATACTCAAAATCCATTTCTAATTATTATTTTATTTACTTTTTTTTTACTATTTAAGTAATTTATTTTAACTCAATGAAATATAAATATTTTGCCGATGGCCCCAACAACTTCAAATTAGTCGTCGTTGAGTTAGCGTTTTACCGAACAGCCAATTTTAGAATCGTTAAAATTATCGCTGAATTCTTTTAGTTTTCGGATCGCTTATACCACTGATGGGCAACAAAAATTGTTACTGAGTTTAACTGAACCGGGCTCGGTGAACAAACGACAAGGAGGCAATTTTAACATTTCCTTACTAGCTAATTCTTACTGAATTTCTCACCGAGCAACAGCAACAGACAGAGTTCATATATTTGTACAGCAAACCAAACCTTTTTCGGGAAATTGTCAGTTCCTGTTTAGGTTGGGGTGAACCATTGGGAAAGTTTTAGATTAAAATTTATCAGACTAACTATAAATAGACTTTAAAAAAGTGGAACTTCGGTTTTATATCAAAGGTATGAATTTTAAACTCGAGAAGTACATTTTACTTATCTGAAAAACATTTACGATTTTTGGGGAAAAATTTTATGGTTTCCGAAGTGGACTTGAAAATGGTATGGATAAAAAAATATTTCTTAGAAAATAAATTAAAAATATTAGTAATAATGCAAATAATTGAATTTTCGCTTAACAAAAACTCAAATTGCACGGTTTCGGTAACCTAAGCAAACGTACTGACTTATTTTAAAGACGTGCCAAAAGTTTCGCTACAAATATTAAATTCAAATTTCAAAAACATACTCGTGCAATTTGTTAAAAACTGATAATTAAGTTATTTATAAGCAAAATAAAATATATTTCCTTTTATGATCTTATCAAAATTGCCGCCAACAACAACTCTTCGCTTTAGAGTGCGATGTGAACTGTCATAAGAAATGCGAACATTTAATGGCCAACTTATGCGGCGTCAATCAAAAGCTGATGGTGGAAGCTTTAGCTTGCGTGAAACGAGGTACCTCAACGCTTTTATTCTTTTGTGCGCAGAAAATCAAAATAACAGTATCGATTCATTAGTGTCCAATATGTGCCCAAAGTACCACGGAAATTTAAATAGAATGAATCACTAACTGATGCAGTAATCAAGAGTTAGTATGAATTACAGACAAAACTTTGATTTGAGGTTATCAGAATTGGTATTCAGAATTATATGGATGTAAGTCGCTTTGCAGGAAAAGGTGTTGAAGGCTAACTAGCATACAATAAGCGACTAGTCCATATATTCTTCAAATGAATACACAAGACGCTCTAACAACTGTCCAAAACAGATATGCTCAACTCAACTCAAACTTTGTCGTTTCGTTTTGTTGACATGAAAAATAAACTTTGCGAAAGAATTTCGATTTGTTTCGGCGCCATTTTATCAAATTAATTTGTTAATGTCGAAACCGCACAAACTCATTGTTAATGTTAATTTCTAAGTGGCTGCTTGCTATGATATTAACAGCAGCCTTAAATTTCAGGGTTTAACATTATCTGTTAACGATTTAACATTAACGACAGCATTTCGCTTCCGGTAAAAACGAATTAAAATTTATTTTGATATTTGCCTTAACGATAGCATACCTAAATGTCTCAATCGAATCGATTTAAGTTTATCATTACGATGCACCCTTGATGCCTAACTAAATAAAAGTCGAATTACACATATTTTAAATTTTTCTTATTTATTCATGTGAGTTTGCATCCGTCCATTTCGTAAGGGTGTTGTATGTGTACATATATTACATATACATATGTAACTACATCTCAACATCTCTACATATGTTCATATGTACTAGTATATATTTTGAAATAGATTTTAAAAAAGATAAGCGCATAAATTTAACCAACTGATTAACCGTTGTGTTCAGTCTATTGGTTTGAAGACACTTAGATCAGGTGATGGCATGAATTCGCGGCGTGTTAAAGTCATATACGCGCTTGATACTGTTCCCATGTACATAGTATATGTATGTACGAGTATGTATGTATAGACAAGTGCTTTTCACTAGTAATTCACGACAGAAATTTGCAGGTTTATTGCTATGACCCAAATATTTGAGAAATGCATTTGTAAGTTGTTATTTTTACAGCCACATATATGACAACAGCCCACGGCTTTACTTATGTACATAAATATGTATATATGTATAGATATTTCTACTAGTATTTCGGTGGTCTTTTCCCGAATGCGCTGAGAAGATTCTTGGCACAAGCTCCTCAAATATGTAATGGATGCGTCGCTTTTGGCAAACACATATCGATACATACGTGTACGTACGAATGGTTTTATGTTTACCTACATGCATACACTTGCTTGTAGATGTATTTTAAGCGAACTGAATACAAAATTTACATTTCATTTTACCGTTACGCTGAGAATCATCAAATTTGTGGATACACCTAAGCTAATTAGTGTTTGCCTATAAATAAATTGTAATTTTAATTTTGTTCAGTGAAATAAACAATATAATACCTTCGGCACTCAAAATATATTGACTATGTCCAAATCAATGTACATACATACATACATACATTTGTACTATGTAAAGATAAAATCAAGATATATGTGTTATATTAATATTCTTTTAATATACCGATAATCATTAAAAATTCTCCAAATGAAGGCTCAATTTTCTCATTATTTTCTACTTCAATTCTTAGTGATCTACTAAAGCAAACAAAAAAGAAGCAAAATCGAGCGAAATCTCCTTGAATATCTATTGCACTCCGGCACTGTTCAGCTCCTTAACCCTGTAGCTTATACTATATACCTCGAAAATTAATATCAATCACACTTTATTAGTAGAGGTCAATGAATAGTTGAAAAATGAAAAGAAATCGCAAAGTGTCCTCCATACTACGCCGACCAGCCGGCTAACATAATTGATGCTTTGACAGCTTGTCAAAATCGACAAATTTTCACTCTCTTTTTGTGACATCCCTAAATAAATAGTCAATGCGTAAAGAGCCCGCTCTGCTGATCTTTGCCGTATTCGCTTCCAAGGTTTAGATTTTGTATGTATGTTTCTATTCGAGGTAAAATAAAAATAGGTTAACAGAGCAACGGTGTCTGCTTAAATTTGTCATTGGAAATACCAGAGGTCTTTGGGCATTTATTGGTAACCCTAGTTGAATGCTGCGATGAGTAAGCCACGCATTTTAATACTTCATCTGATATGCAGGCGCACGTGATGCCCGGGATTCGCCCAGTACGCCGCCAAGCTCAAATCCTGCTTACAAAATCGAAGCCAACGAGGAACATGATGGTATGCCAGTATGCCGTAAGAGTTAATCAAAGCGCATGAATGATATTTTATATATAATATATTATATTTAATTTAGGGACTATCAGTATATAAACTAGTGAGTTAGAATTCAGTTTAAGTTAGAGAAAAAATGCCCAATTTTCGACCGCATAATGAGGCAATTGGGACCATATATAAGCAATAATGCGCCGAATATTTTCTTTCAAGGCGTGAGCCGTCTCGGAATTATCTGCGTAGATAAAACGTCACATAACCCTGCAACATATAGTCCCGCGACTTTAAATCGCACTATCTTGGAGGCCGCACTACAGGTCCACGATGGCTGTTCAACAAGTAGCGTGGTCTAGTTGCCACCAAAGGTAGTCCACTTCATCAACTCACTCCAATTAGGACAGGAAAAAGTCATTAATAATGGCCATCTCCTTTTGGGCCGACGCGCTTGTTGGTCATTCGGCTTCAGTTCTTGCACGAATTGAATTTTGTGAGCCCGCAAGCCAATATCCATCCGCAAATCTTACGCGTCGCGAAACCGACGCGTGGCTGCTCGAGTCGCTATCCATAAATAAAAATAATAAAATTTCTAAAGGAACACCAATAATCTGTGCGGGCCTACTTACATATGTATGTACATACATACATATATCTTCTTCCAAAAGAAAATACGGTTTTTCATTTGTTGTTATCTACAAAACAAGACGTCAAAACTGAGAAAAGAGCAAAAGAAGTATAGTAAATATTGTATTCATTATTTTTCGATGGTGAGGAGCAGCTTTTCAAAATAAATAAATTACTCGTACATACGCCAATGCCTTGTCAAAAGATTAAATATTTACTTAAAAAGTTCTAGAAATAAACCGATTTTTAGACATTTTCAACTGATGACAAAGCAGCCGAAACAAAAGATAATGAATCACGAGGGTGCATAGTATATAGCTTTGTTCAGAAATAGAATCGGCATACACTATCAATTGTCTAATTGTAGAAACGCAGAATTTCAATTTTTTATATATTTAGGTGAACAATTTTGAAACCTCTTTTGCATAAGTATTAGTACGTGTTTTTATTATTATTATTTTTAAATAAATTTTTCAAGTTTACTGCTTATTTATATATTTTAAAGGACTCGCCATCGAATTAATCACCGAATAAGAAGTACTTTGCAGTAGGAAGGATGAGATTGTCTTATGAAAGAGCGAAATAAATATTTATACATTAACCAAATCTGATTAATTAATTATTTAGTTAAGACTTGTTGTTATTGCTATGCGAAAAATATTAATTTTCCCCTATTAATTACACCATTTATTAAAAATTATGTGGCTTAACAAAATTAATCGATTCAAAGCCAATAAATCATAAGCCGAGAACATTTTCTTTAACCATACATAGCAAAGTCTAAGTAAATTTACTGAATAGAATATGTATAGGGTTATCCATTTCGTGTCTTCAAAAGTCCAAAGCTATATTTTGGCAACTGTCAAAAATAATCTTCAAACCAAACATGTTTTGTTTTAGATAAAAGTCAGGCACAACCGCCTTACAACCGCACAACGCGCTAATATCGTAAAAATCTACAAGTTTAAAAACATGGCCACGTTTCGTGATTTAAGAGATTATGGTGCATAAAAGCTTCCAACTACTCTGGCAATTTGAAGAGACTGGATCGATTGCAGATATTGCAAGGTCTGTGCATTGGCGTTTTTCTCGCTCTACCTAAAATATCGCTACAAGTGAATGTCTAGCCAAAGAGCGGAATGTGTCTACTGCGCCACTTCACAACAGCTTTTGCTGCACATTGTGGAGCATTTTTGAGTTGGACTTACATCTGCATCTGTCAAAAGTCCAGCTCACATAACAGCTGTAGCCAGCTGACCACTATTGCGAGAGAAATTTCCCGGCCGCTGCCCAGTATATGCCAAAAAATTGCCGAAAATTACCTTAAATGATCGATGCTGGCGAAAGTTCGGGCGGCGGTCATTCGATTGATGTAGTGTTTCAATAAAAATTGAGTTTCAAAGCAATAATGTTAAATACATTTAACCGCAAATTGGATAACGCTTTTTTTTCTTTCCATTCCATTACAATTCTCTTAAATGCAAGAGCTATAAAAAAAAGAAAATTAATCAGTTTGGAGTATTGGTTTTTGGTGATTACGCAGAATTTAATTTAATACCGCACTGTTCTAAGCGCTTTTTCATAAGACAACTTCGAAAGCAACCCCTTACTCGTCCACTCCATTGACTGTTTGACTTCTTTCACAGAAACATCCTACACGTATTCGCAATTTCAAAAGTCGGGGCGTTTCACCGCGCCAGCTACCGTTATTCCACGATTCAAAAACTACTCAGTGGACGACTTCCACTTCCTGGCCGTGTTGGGCAAAGGAAGCTTCGGCAAGGTAATTGCACTTAATCCCCATCTAATTGACATTTCTGTTTCCAGGAAATACTCGAATGTACATATGTGTATATTCATTGGGACCAAAGAACAAAGAAAAAAGAAGAAGAAAAAACTAACACGCCTTATGCATTTCAGGTGCTGCTGGCCGAGCTACGCGACACCACCTATTACTACGCCGTCAAGTGTCTGAAGAAAGATGTCGTTCTCGAGGATGACGATGTCGATTCAACCTTAATCGAACGCAAAGTGTTGGCATTGGGCACCAAGCATCCGTATCTGTGTCACCTGTTCTGCACATTTCAAACTGAGGTAAATAGGAAACGATCAGAAAGTCGAAAATACTGAAAATCATTTCTTCATTGGCCTTTATTAGTGAATTAGAGAAGGAAATCTATGGCGATCAAATCGCTTTTGAAAATTTTCTAGTTTTTATTCGAGTTATTCATTATGTGTGCTGGTATGTGTATGTGTGGGGCTTGACATTTATTTGCGGGCATTTATACTGAAAACATCTACATATTTTAATTTTCTTTTCAATTACAAATGATTTAGAGTGTTCCTGTCGCAATTTTGTGCACAACAAACTCACCTACGTATCTAAAGGCACTGCTACATACACGTATTGTTGTTGTTTATTTTCAATTTATTTTCACTTGCATTGGCATCGAATATTTTTGTCTATTCTTAGATTCTTAGATTTTTTGGCGCATTTTGTTGAAAATCGACCAACGATTGTTTGTGTGTAGCTTTGTGTGTATCGGCATTTACGTAGCAGCATATTAAGTCCCCTTGTATGTATGTCGCACAGCAATGACAACGGCACAACCGCACTGTTCTCTTATCAAACATTTTTCTTTTCCGAAGAGTAATTTGCAGCATTTCAATAAGTGAAGTGCAGAATATATAAGTATATTTATTTTTATCTGTTCATGCGTGTATGTATGTGTGCACATACCTGGTGTCATTCCCATTAACCCTGAGGTGGTCGTAGTTTTATGTGTTCCACATGGGCGTTCTAAGCAATAAACTGACAAAATATTGGCTGTGTGTCGTGCACCTGCCGGCTACGCCTCTCGCACCTCAACCACCTCCACCACCGGTCAAAGCGAGCCACCCCAAATAGTTCAATTAAATATTTGAGGAAAGGTGAAATGATAAATTTAGCTCATTGTTTGGCCATCGCTCGCTCACTGAATACGCCAAGTCGCGCACGCAACGCGTTGCGCGCACAGACAGCCCGATCGATGATGGCCAATTTCAAATGTGGATCAGGGCATTTGATTAAAGTGAATGTCGACATCAATTGCGTACATCATCGGCGGAGTGGTGTCGCGCCTACGCGATCGCCGTTTCGTTGGATATTCCACTGCTGGCGTAATAATTTCAGTTCTGTGACTTTGGTCGAATTTTCTACAGCGATAAGAGGTCATCATAGATCGCAGCAGTGAAATGAAATGCAAGTGATTCCAATTCGCACTTTTATAAGATTTCTACCAGCTGTAACGAGTCCCGTAGTTTCTTTCAGATTGTTCTCCTCAAACGGATCTTAATTTATTATCACGCGTAGTAGAGTTTCCTACTGACCTTAGAAGCGGAAACGAAAGAACGAAAAAATGTTTCTTTACCAAAGAAAAGTTTTAATTATTTTATTTGTAACAAAATTTGAGGATGCATTTGTGATGCAATTAAACCTGTTCATGAGTTCCGTTAACTTCAGTTCTAATGAATATATTCTTATATCCCACCAGAGTCACTTATTCTTTGTTATGGAGTATCTCAACGGTGGCGATCTAATGTTCCATATACAGGAGAGTGGTCGGTTCCCGGAGGAGCGAGCTCGTTTCTATGGCGCAGAAATCATATCCGGCTTGAAGTTCCTGCATAAAAAAGGCATCATATACAGGTATAAGTTCACTCCAACTGAGAACACCGAGGGCCACAACTCATTTCCTTTTCTCATTTGCAGAGATCTGAAATTGGACAATGTGTTGTTGGACTTTGAAGGTCACGTGCGCATCGCGGATTTTGGCATGTGCAAATTGCAAATCTACCTCGACAAGACTGCAGACAGTTTTTGTGGTACACCAGATTACATGGCGCCTGAAATCATAAAGGTACACAAGGGAGTCTCAGATGAAATTCTAAAATTTATTACATTTCACTTTTCAGGGTGAAAAGTACAATCAATACGTCGATTGGTGGTCATTTGGAGTTTTACTCTACGAAATGTTAATTGGACAATCGCCATTTAGTGGTTGCGATGAGGATGAACTATTCTGGTCGATTTGCAATGAGATTCCTTGGTTCCCTGTTTATATATCAGCAGAGGCCACAGGCATTTTGAAGGGAGTAAGGCCTATTTTTCAACAAAATAAGTATTTTCTAAATCGATTTATTGCACTTCTTTTAATTGACAGCTTCTTGAAAAAGACTACACCAAACGCATAGGCTCCCAATACAGTCCCGCCGGTGATATCAGTGAGCATATATTTTTCAGACCCATCGATTGGGATTTGCTGGAGAAGCGGCAATTACCGCCGCCCTTTAAGCCGCTAGTGGTGAGTATTCCCCTATTCAAGCCAGCGCGGTAGCTCTTGAGTAAGACAGACCAAATGAATAATAAAAATAATTTTGCAGAAACATCCGTTGGATACACAATACTTCGACAGGGTCTTTACAAAAGAGCGCGTGCGTTTGACGCCCATCGAAAAGGATATTCTGCAATCCATGGATCAGAAGCCTTTCCTTGGTTTCACATACACAAATCCACACATAACACTAGATTAAGTAGAGTGAGCGCATTCGCTAGATTCCACAAACATTTTTAAATATAAATGTTTCATAAAATCTTTAGGATCGGAATAGATGGAAAAGATTCTTTGACGGAAACTAAAGGAGAAATGCACATCTCAAAATTTTACTCATAGCAGCAAAGGGTCCGTATCAAAAATTTCGTATGGATTGAGTTTGCAATACAAAGTTTGTTTCAAACCAGTATTTAAAAGAATAATAATTTAGACTAAGCAGAAGAGGATTAGGTTAAACATTTCTTAGCATAAGACAGTTATGGAGTTTGTAAATGTATATTTGTTTGTATGTAACGCTCACCTTTTCACCAAAAGTCCATCCATTAATATTAGAACCCAGGTCCCAATTGTTGGCTGAAGCCACCAAGCGTACAACCAATTTTGAATTATTATTTTCATGATTAGATTTTCGTTGACACATAAATGTAAAATAATAATTAGATAGTTTTAATATTTTACTTACATAAATACATACATACATACGTATACATAGTATATGTATTGTAGGAATTGAATATTTTCATGATTAGCTGTGGAATTGTAAAATCAATCAATCGGATTATTGAAATGCATACATTTTGATTCGATAGGAATTTATGGGGAATCATTGTAGATTTTAGTCACCTTAGTTACGCATAAAATGTTTTAGAAATAAATATTTGTACATACATACGTAGATATAAAGTATATGCAAATACTGAAAAAAAACAGAAAATAATAATAAAAAACTATAAAATTTATTCTTAACTGATTTATTTCCACTAATCCGGATTTCCTCCGGGTTTGCTTTGCTCAATAGGTTGCAGATCATCAAAAATCTGGACTCATTACATATATACATTATTTTTTTGTTGTTTGGGAACTCTTCAACTACTGAAATTTATTTATCTATATCAAAGGCTTCTCAGAGTATATGAGATGAAAGAGCAATAGTCTTAATTATTGGATGAGTGCATAAGTTCGTGCCCGATTCCGCTGGATGCCGTTCGAATCGTTTAAGAGTGACGCTTGTGAAAGAAATATATACACATTACCGAACTGTAAATCAAGCATAAAATAACTTCATTTTGATTTGAGTTGCTTAGTGAAAAGACGCATGGAAGATGGACAACGAAAAAGATCATATGCGTCGTATTATGTTATACGAATTCCGCAAAGGAAAAACAGTAGGCGCTGCTACTAAAGATATTCGCGAAGTTTATTTGGACCGTGCTCCAGCACTCCGCACAGCAAAGAAATGGTTCACGAAATTTCGTTCTGGAGATTTTAACCTCGAAGATCAACCTCGCAGTGGACGGCCTTCTGAGCTTGATGACGATGTTCTAAGGACTTTAGTTACGAATAACTCACGTATTTCGACGGAAGAGGTTGCCAGTGAATTGAACGTCACCAAATCAACTGCGTTTCGTCGTTTAAAAAAGATTGGGTACACTTTGAAGCTCGATACATGGGTGCCACATCAGTTGAGTGAAAAAAACAAAGTGGACCGTATGTCAACAGCAATTTCTTTGCTTCGACGGATCAAAAACGAACTTTTTTTGGATCGGCTCGTGACTGGTGATGAAAAATGGATCCTGTACAACAATGTTCCACATAAAAGAACATGGAAACAGGCACACGAAGGGGAGGAACCGATGTCGATGGCGTGATCTATTTTGAGCTCTTGCCAGCTGGAGAAACGATCACTGCCAACAAGTACTGTAAGCAATTTGTCGAATTGAAGAAAGCAATTGATGAAAAACGTCCGATTTTGGCCAATCGCAAAGAAGTTCTTTTCCATCATGACAACGCCAGGCCAAATGTTGCAAAACCGACCCTGGCTAAGCTGAAGGAGATGAATTGGGAAATCATGCCGCATCCCCCATTTCCATCGCTGCAGAACAATTTGAATGGAAAAAAATTTAAAAATGTGGAAGACGTCAAAAACCACCTTGACACCTTTTTCAACGGGAAACCGCACCATTTCTATGAATCAGGCATCCGTAAATTGGTTGAACGTTGGGAGTGGATTGCCGAACATGATGGCGAATCATAATTGATTAATAAAAGCGCTTTCTTCAAAAAATTTCAATTTTAGTTTGCACTTGAAATCGGGCACGAACTTATGCACTCATCCAATATTAAGTCTCTGACAACCGAAACGAGGAGTGCCATGACGTACAGGTTTTGCCAAGTCGTGAAAGACAAGAGTTTGTTCAACGTCGAAATTTTTCCAACAGATGAATGGTCCTACAGTTTAATCTAAATCGTCTCCTGACGGCCTATGTAATTTTATGAGGAGCCTCTATATCATGTCTGAAAGAGAAACTTCGATGTTGCTTGAACCAGGTCGAAACCTTGCTTTCGAAATTGCGGCCGATAGCTCTTCTCTACAGCTTGCAAGTGTCGATAGATTTATAAATGTTGAGCGACTGGTATAAATGACTGGTTTTGGAGAGAAACCCATTAGGAATTGCGTAATTATATCATATATATATATATGAACTTAAATTATTTCGACAATAACTTTGCAAATCAAGAGCCCCTCAAGCTTTGCACACAGTGATATCAGCGCGAAGATTAGAATTAAGTTTGGTGTCCATTGATTCATCCATGGTGGAGAGGCATATCATTGAGCAGATCTATAAAGCATTTAATCATCACACAAACTGTTGCTGGAGACATCCATTAAAAATGTGTTAGTTTCGACGGCTCGCTGTCTACATATTTGGTTCACAACAAAGCAACGGCTTGCACCAAAAGTGAGGACTTGTGCCGATATTTGAATTGAGGAACCCAGAGTTCGATGGTGATTGCTTATACTGTGCCAGTGGTTCTGAGTTGCGTAAGTCAATCTATGGTCAGAAATGGTAAAGGTGCCCGTATCGAGTATTCATCAACTAAAACCACAAAATTACCGTGATTCACCGTCTTGTTGATCAAGTTCCATAACAGATTTCAGATCGAAAAGTCCATTTTCCCATTCAATCAGTCGCTCTGGCTGTGCGAGTTTTCTCTCTTGCCCTTGTCTATGGAAAACGTTCCTATCGTGGTAGAAGCAAATTCAAAAGAAAATGTCTTCAAAAATGCAACTAGCCCGAGCAGTACAGGAGATAAAATGGTTAACAGTTAAACGTGTTTTTTGAAACTGAGCGCTTTTTCAATGTCAAGTTCAGAATCCAAGAATTGAAGCAAAGGGATATTTGTTTTTCTTTCTCTTTATTCCTTTCATTGGTCTGAAGTATGTAAGAACCAGAAAGAGAAGAGATAGATCCAGTAAAATGTATACCAATCTGATCAGATTAATGAAGTGAATTGATTTAACTATACCCGCCTGTCCGTCAGTTTGTCTGTGTACCAAGTATGGTGGAAATATCTCGAAAGTCTGGTCCTTCAGTTTTGATATTTTAACCAAGCTTGGTACACAGACAAGTTTAAACAATCTTTTGCCGAAACAGTCCAAATCGGACCACTATAGCATATACGTATTTAAGATTTTTCATAAAAAAATTTGTAAAATAAATCATGTAAATACGTGAAATTTAGTATTCTACAAATTACGATTTCCACATTGGTGCTGAGTACTATGGAAATCGGACGACTATAACATATAGCTCACATGCACAGATTTTTTCAGTTAATAGGCTTTAGCAAAAATCCGTCAAAAAAGCATCTAACGGTATGAAATTTAGCGTATATACAAATAAGCATTGACACTGAAAATAATCGAAATCCGAAAACCTCGTCAACGACTTTTTTGGTTGGGGGAATTAATATATATTTAACCCTTGAAATACATGAAGGGTATGCACATATAAAGCTAGCGCTTCTTTCTTGTTATTCTCTCCTTTACTCTTTAACATACCGAAACAAGTTGATAGTTTATAGCTAATTTGAAAAGGTTTATTGGGTATTAAGCTAATGCAACCGAAATTCCGTGAACTTGAAATTGTGACACAATCTTTTACCATTTTGACTGTTACAACAAATTGTCTGTCATACTTGAGCTTACATGCATAAATATGATTTCACGTTTTCATCACGATTCATTAAAAAACCATGTATATTTATGTATGATGTCCATACATATGTAAATACAAGTGTTATTGATGAGAAATTTGTTAATGTTGTTATCTTTGTAACATCTGGAGCTGCCTAGATTCATATAAATATATAATATAAGTATATGTATATGCATATGTGAATATATATATATAAATAAGTGTAGATATGTATGTTACAAGTTTACTATAAAACTTAAAGAGAGATTAGGCGATTGTACTCATAACTGTAAGAAATATACACATGTATGTACGTAATTGATTCAGAGTAGGTGACGGAAATCACGGTAAAGAAACCATTTCTTAGAAAATACCAATATTCGAATATCATCACTCGACTGTTGATAGGGAGCTACATGGCATATTCCTCCGAAATCGGAGTAGAAGAGATCGCCAGGCTGGCTCTAACTAAATCCATCCGAGAAGCTTTATTTGCGACCACTTTGCAGCAATCGGGGCAAATTCATAAAAAATCCTAAAAAATCCTTAATCATGGCCCTATAGCGGTCTCGATTGGCTGCAAGATTATGGCCGGACTCACTTTTGAAGAAACATGGACCCGTAGATCCCTCTGTCGCTCATTAATGTACATGTACATGATGAATGCATGTACATATTCGAGCTTCATCGCTGAACAAAATTTTCTTATGAAAATCGGGATTATTGGCCACCTCGTTTTTGGCCTCTTCACCGAATATACTTTTGACAGTCATTCGACTTCAATTCTTCACCGAGTTGGATTTCCAAGGCTCACAATCCAAGAGCCTTCCACAAAGTCTTCCAGAAAATGCTGCGCGATGCCGGATGGCCCCATTCGGCTCTTCTTCGACGCTTAGCTAAACAGCAGCAATAGCATCTTTGGCGCGAACTGTACGGCATCTGTGAGGATACGCATCATTCAAGGAACAAATATATTGCCTGATTTTATTGCTGAATTGAATACCACACATCTTAAAAACGAGTTGTGAGTTATGATTGGACCCGAAAGATCATTCAAAATGCTTCGGATAAATACATCACCTCAAGCTAGCTACAAAATATGAATTATGAAATCATTTTTCTGGATTGTATCTGGAGAATTCGCAAAACTCCGAACGACCACACCGACCATAGAAATTAATTTCAAATTCCCATTTTCTTATTTGAGTTTTCCCGAAAATCGCATAGCCGAATTCATACGAGATGAGCACCACTCACAGTAAAAACTGAAGACACTTCTTATCATTTCAACGAAGTGTCTTACAAAACAGTCTAATATTGCCAATAACTATATTTCAAATACCACGTGCAGCCATTCCAGCATAGCTCGTAATTAAGTATTTAATTATTACAAAATATGCAAAAGATGAGTTCGACAACCGGTAACTCCATCAGCCAACGCGCGCTGTTGATCATGTTGGCTGTGATTATGAGTGCATATCTACACACACACAGACCTATGCTTAGTGGCACATATGGCCCCAAAGTGAATACAAATCAAAACTAATGCCTTAACTGACGAAATCTAATTTAAGCGTAGAAAAAACCCTGAATACATTCCGGACCCATTAAATCTTCCAGCTTCACTTTTACCTTTTCACCTTTATTAGGTAACTGTATTGATTGTTTTTATTGAGTTCAGCTGTTTTTCTGTTTTTCTTCTTTTTTTATGTCGATGTTTCGCTCAAATGCCGATGCATTTTGATGGCGCTCAGAGCTCAGCGAAGAGTTCGTGTTTCCATAGCGACCACCAGTGTGTGGGAATACCTTAAGTAACAATTAAAGCAACAACAAACCAATGCATATCAATTATGCTGCAGGAAACCTGGCTTCGAGTAACTGAGGTTTGAGCTTCGAGTCATTTGTTTTCGTATAAATTCTGCGTCTCGCCTATGTCTACTTCAGTTCAACTTTCGGTTTTCTCAAGCAACCCATCGCTATTTTTAGTAATTCCGCATACAAAAAAACACGAAATGAAGGTAAGTAATGGAACTGCTTGGATGCATCTATAAAGGTCTTATCGATTACTTTCCATTCCTCAGATCTTTGTTTGTGTGCTCGTCACTTTGGTGGCATCAGTTTCTGCCGGCTTCCTTGGAGGTAACTCAGGCGGTGGCGGTGGCTATGGACCCGGACCTGGTGGCCCACATGGTGGTCATGGAGGGCATGGAGGTCATGGCGGCTACGGCGGCCCAGGTGGCCCTGCTGGGGGCGGTGAAATAAAAACCATACAAATCATACATGATGGTGGCGCAGGAGGGCACGGGGGAGGCTACGGAGGTTATGCTGGTCACGGTGGCGGACATGGAGGCCATGGGGGCCATGGGGGCCATGGAGGTCATGGCGGTTTCGGTGGTCATGGCGGTGCCGTGGGAGGAGGAGATGTCAAAACCATCAAGGTTATTCACGAACAAGGCGGTGCAGCGGGTGCATTCCATGGAGGTATTGGTGGACACGCTTACGGTGGAGGCCATGGTGGTGGCAGCGTTGGTGGCGGCGATGTAAAGACAATCAAAGTTATACATGAACAAGCTGGCAGTGGTGGATTTTCAAATGGTATCGCTGACAATGGCGGCTACAGTTATGGTGGTGGTGGTGGTGGACATGGACATGGTGGTCACCATGGCGGCGCTCCTGGCGGCGGTGAAGTGAACACCATAAAAGTTATACATGAACAAAGCTTCGAAAGCGGACATGGCGCTGGCGGAGTGGGTGGTGGAGCGATTGGCGGTGGCGCTTACGGTGGCGGTCACGATGAAGTCAAAACCATTAAAGTCATTCACGAGCAAGGTGGTGCCGTTGGTGGTGGATTCTCGGGTGACGCCGGTGTTGGTGGTGGCTACAGTTATGGTAGTGGCGAAGGGGCTGGTGTTGGCGGTGGAGACGTAAGAACCATCAAAGTCATTCACGAGCATGCCGGACCTGTTGGTGGACATGGACATGGAGGCGGTGCCATTGGTGGTGGCTCCTACGGCGGTGGTGAAGTGAAGACAATCAAAGTCATTCATGAACAAGGCGGCATCGCAGCTGGTCACGGTGCTGGAGGCAGTTATGGCGGTGGTGTCGCTGCAGGCGGACACAATGGCGGTTCTTTCGAAGCTGTAAAGTCTCTCAATTTGATCGGGGAGTTGGACGGTGGCGGCCATGGTATCGGTAACTTCAATGGCGGCGGCAACTTCAATGGCGGTGGATCTCCCGCTGGCGGTGCTGGCTATCTGCCTCCAGTGAATGAGTACGTGCCCCCATCAAACGAGTACTTGCCACCAGTGGCGTAATAGACCTCAACTGTTTAGCTGTAGTTGTATTTTAGGTTTAATTATTCTATCATTAAGTAGCTGCCAGACGTTGCATCTGGCGTCTCTTTTGTAAATATTTCTTTTCGTATCAAAAAGTAAATTAAAAATTACAAAAAAAACATATGCATTGCTTGTTGTTGATTCAATACTTATATTCTGCCAATCGTAAAGTCGCATTTCCAATTGTTAAATCGATCTTTTTCCAATGGCGCTAATGAACTAACCGCAGTTCCCACACCAAAGACAAAATGTTGTAAATTTTTTTATTCTTTTTGTCAATCGGCGTGGTATGTTGCGCTGGAACATGCGATTCACCGTTAAAAGGGCAATCCGTAGCGAGCTTCAAATAATTAACGCCACTTTCATCCATTTGATGTTAAGGTCTCCGTGAATCAGACAAGCTCCCAATTAAGCGATAATTATGCCCGTAGTTGGTTCCTAGGTAGGAGTTCAAGTATACGAGTCATTGGAAATTTACTTAGGACGGCGTCTCTCGATGGGCTACTGTTAAATAAGATCAGTAAAAAGACTTGCTCGACGTTTATGGAAAAGACCGTGATAAGTATGTTCATAAGCCCCAGGATGTCTCAGCAGCCATTATTCGTACAGAAGTTCTTCTAATTCCCGTCAGATGCGGGTAACTCGGGCTGACTCAATCTGTCTTATAAGGGTATTTACCTATAATCACACCACCAATCGATTCTTTGGTTAAAAAGTTGCATTTTCACATTCAGTCTCTCGGCCGACTCGCCTTACCCACTCTTCGTTAAATTATAGTTTTTAATGAAAGAAGCAGCCTCATCTTAATGTTGAAGCGATTCGAAAGGAGGACAACAGACATATCGAAGACAAGGGCTATAGACTGCCCCGGAAAAGTCTTGGTCCTGCAAAATAATAATACTTTGTGTCAAATCCATGCAAGTTATATGTTGTTTTTGGCAAAGCAAGCGTTGTATTTTTAAATAAATTCTACATACATATGGGTATGTACATATGTATATTTGCGGAGATCGCAACGTCGCACGAGACCTTTGGATATGCTACACGAAGAAATATATGTAACTCGTCTTTGACATACCTACATACATTCATCCCGATGCTATTCATTGGATATTAACCAACTTGTTTAATAAAAATAAAACTCATATTTATTGGGATAGTTGCGTAACTGTAAACAACGACCCAATAAATGTGCGCATTTGCATATTCAGAGCGACGGCTTTGTATTTATGTTGAAGTATGCAATTCGGTGGGCGAATGGGAGCAATGTTGAAACTCTATCACGAAACATGTGTTTGCATCTTTTCAAGTTCCGTTTCAATTCATTGCGGTTGCAGGTGTATAAAGCGATTTACAATACGGCCGATAGCTATCAGTTCGGCTGCAGGCCTTCATCACCGAGGGTTCCCTTAATTTTGAGTCAAGATGGAAGCTTGCAATATGAAGGTTTGTCATAGACTGCAAATACCGATTTACATCAACAGTAAGCTTCCGTTTTTCAGGTTTGCATATGCATCTTCGGCATGCTGGTGGCCTCAGTCAGATGTGGATCTATATTTGCTGCTAGTAGCTTTAAGAGCGGCATCGACTTTGATCATGGATTCGGCCATTATATAAGCCACGACGGCATAAAAACAGTAACCACATCCTACAAAAGTCTCGGTGACTATGGCTCTCTTGGTGTTCATAAGGAGCATGGTGCCGTTTTTAGCAGTGGTAAGCCCATTGTTGAAGTAACCGATGATCAAATCGACGAAGTGGGTCATGGGAGTCAAGTTGGCTTCCGCGAAGTGCAAGGCGTTAATTACATCAGTGGCAGTGGAGGTATCACTGGGCATAGCGGCCTAAGTGATAATAATCCTGTTTATAGCAGTGGATACGCAGGGCCAAGTGAAGGACACGATATTCAAACAATTAAAGTAATTCATCTTGACGGCACTCACGGAGGCCACGAAGCACACTATGGCAGCTTGAATGAATTCGGTGGACGCCATGAACTTAGTGGTGGCCTTCATCATTTTGGAACATATGATGCGCACAAAGGCTTTGACGGTACTGGCGGCAAACAAAATTTGAAAGTAATCAAAGTAATTCATACCGGAGATGGCAACATCCCCTTTAAGGGTTATAACGGTTTCGCTTCTGGCGGCGGATCTGTCGCAAAGCACGCAGGTTTCGATGGCTATGATGAAACATTTTCAGGATTTGGCAGTAATGGAGGTCCAGAAGCTATAAAGACTATAAAAGTTATTCACACCGCGGACAGTAGTCAAATTAGTGAGCACAGCCCAAAATGGGTGTGAGCGACTTGAGATTTTTGCCCTTTGAGTGTGAAATTAAAAAAAAGTTCGTGCACCGCTCTTCTAAAGGCTCAGCGAAGTATTTACTCACACTTGATTAACTTATAAATTTCGATGTATGCATGTATGTAGGCATTTAAGTTCATTAGGTAATAAATTAGTTTTATTTTAAAGCTTTTGTGTCTGTGTCTTAGATAAGTATGTATTATAAGATCCTTCAGAAAGGGATGGATTAAAGTAACAGCGCAACCCAAACTAGCAAATCTTTCATCCCGTTCAAATTTCCAGCCAGTAGTGACGCTCTCGCTTGCTGTCGCCAGCTGCTTGAACCGGAAGCAAGATATTTTGACGTCTGTGTTGCGCTCGTGCGCCGCCTCCATCTTCCGCTTTGTCTATTCGCAAATTCAGCATGTGCTCACCATCCTCATCATATAAGCGTAGGAGCTGGGTGTTCTTCGCCGCCTGCTGCAAGTAAGCGTGACCGCCAAGCTTTGAACGCGCACTTTCTGATTTACCATTATTTTGCCGCCGTGTGTTCACAAGGTCGTGTTTATGTGTATGTGCAGGCACTAGAAGTTGATGAGGCGGCGGCGGTGGCGCTGGATATCGAGCATCACTGGCAGCTTTCAACGGCGTTATACTGCTTTTCGACGAAATTTTACGACCGAAGCGTGCGTTTTGCTCCATTTGTATCCTTTCTATCACGGCATAGGGTAGTATGTCTGGGAGTGCACTCGAAAATACGCCGAAGCTTAACTTTACAGTGGGCGTTTTGTAATACAAGCAAAGTGTCAACGAAACTTGTACAAAAACCACAAAAGCGACAACCAACCAAACACGAATTTCCGAAATCATTTTCAGAGTGTGATTACTCTGGCTGTTCGTGAATCAAAAAACACTTTCTTCCGTTTCGCCGATTTCCGCTTGCGTTGTGCCGCGTTCGCGTTGTAAATGAAACTGCGTATGTCGCGGAGCTCTGCGGGCTTTGATTTGCGGCGTTAAGTGGTTATGAGTGATGTCAATGGGTATTAGCTACCAAACTCGCCTTTGTTATGGAAATGTTTTTTTCTGGCATATCAAAAACGCTGCAGCGTAAATTGCGCATACTTCTCTTTCCCAAGCAGCTGGAGGCGCTTGTGTGCGTGTGCGTGTGCGTGTGAGTTTTCTGCACCTCCACGCAATCGCAATACTTTTCACCTTAATTAAAATTATAATCATAATTTCATATATACATATATTATATATATACATAAATATAAGGTGTGTCCTTCGGAAAACGAGACTGTGTAGAGAGCAGTGCTAGAAAGCTGATTTGTAAAACTCCCTCCTCGAGCGCTGATCGTACAGTCAATAAGATCGCCTAGTATAAATAATAAATAAAAATATATAAAATAAATAAAATAGTAATTTTCAAAGCATCTGTGCTTTCGTTTGCTTTTGCAAGATTCGTCTCGTTTTCTGTGGAACTGATCTTAGGCATATGCTTATATGTATTTAACACGCAAATGCATTCTTCTTTACAACTTTGCGGCACCGTTAATGGTTCGTAATTAGCTTGTGGTGGCAGTGGTTGTTGTTGCTGTTGTTGGTGTAGTTATTGTCCCAACTATGTAACTTGAATTGGTGCTTTTAATTGTTTGCTTTGTTTTTCACTGGATACTTTCATATTTAATTAGTTTTTGGGTTATTCTAAATTACCATACTTACCTACCTACCTACATACATAAACAAAGTGGTTTAGGGTGGTTCTTACATTTCCAAAAGTCGTGTAATTTTAACAGCGTTTAGCTCTTTTCTTTTCAATTACTGGAATCATCACCGAATTTCAGAAAATGTCGAAAAAGTATTCGAAATTTTGCATTATCCGAATTAAAATCGAACAAACTTTTTGGTATATAAAATATTTATTTCTTTCTTGCTTTTTGTAGGTTACAACTTATTAGAATATTTAAAAATGTTATTAAGTTCTAAACGAAACAATTAAATCAATTGGGAAAAATGTTTAAAATCAGTTAAAACAATTAAATTTACAAAAACTACTTATGTTTGTGGAAATTTAAACGTTTGCGTGGGCTTCAAAAATATTATAGTTTTTAGTTAATCTATCCACCGTTTATAACGTGTGTGTAAGGTTGTTCGGTGAATTCATAAAAGTGCGCTTATGTATGTATAAATTATGTTTGTATATATGTATGTATGCATGTATGTTTTTATTATTATTACACAGGTTTGTTAGAACACATTTTAATTTCTAGTTTGTTTATATGTTTATGTATAAGCATGTATGTATGTATGTATGTATGTACTATGTCTATTGTATCAGAACTTATCGCTAGTAAATTGGCAAATACGAGCCAATACAAGCCTGGCGAATTGAAAATGCAAATCAGTAAATATATATATATATAATTTGTATGTGTGTATGTGTGTGTAGGTAAGTTTCCATTTTAGGTCTAACGCGAACCCGCCTGGAGTTTATTGTTTATTGTTCACCAATCATTTAGTATTTCAAGATTCATTTTCGTGTTGAGAGACTAGTATATTCTATATAAATATGTACTCGTAAATGTATGTTTGTATATATGCTCGTACGAACTAATGTAGAATGAATCAGAGCTGTAAAAAATTTATCAATATCTTAATGTATTCGCATTTTTAATGATCATGCAGGTTCTCGAAAAAATTGCTGAACATATTGTTTATTTAATAATTGTTTAGGGTTTATAAATTAATGTAGTAAGCGGTATTTTGTTACAAAAACAATAAGTTCAGATATTAGCATTTTATCAGGCATTCTATTATCAAAACTACTGCATTGAAATAATCCCTTGCATTCGCTTTAAGAGTAAGCGCTTTACCTTTTTGCATTTTTAATACTAAATTTACTTAAGAGTGAAGTCAGCATTAAGGTGCACCTTGGGCTCTTCTTATAATAATTGATTTTAACAAGAGATGTTGTTGTAGCTGCAAATTGAATTGGTAGTTTAGCTCTTTGTTTGCAGCGAGTCGTCCTTAAGGGATTAAGTTGTATTTTCCAAAAATGTTATTACAATTGTTTACTTATCGATATGTGATTATGAGAGTGTGCAAATGCGTAGCTAATATTAATGTTTATAAAATTTTATACTTATATTATGATATTATATATCATTTGTATAAAAATAATTTCAAACTTCGATGCCTACCTTACTAGAATACAATTGAGTATGTACATATGTATGTATGTACAACTAAATGTATATACTCGTGTGTTATATCTTAAAACTAGAGTACAAAAACATTGGTTCATTGTCATAATTTACTCTTCAATCCGTGTTAAGTTGAGTTTCTCATGGAAGGACTTTCAATTGCTCTCGATATTAGTTAATTTGTATTTGCGTATGTATAATTTCGTGCATACGATTCTATAAATATTGTATTTTAATATACATACATTGTTGTTACATTTCCAAGGTATATACACTTTCTGTCACACTTACGATTGCGTTAAAAATTATTATTTCCGGATTTCTGTATGTATAAACATATGTATATGGTATGTACTACTCGCACAGTTGAAGCCATTCGACTCTCGATTCCAGTGCACTTTTTTAACTGCTAAAAAGGCACTTTCCAATAGCAAACTGATTTTACACACTAGAATATATGTACGGTACAGCTTGAAGTGACATGCAACACTCACACATTCGGCTTTTTGAATCGTTTTTATGCGATTAGGGAATGTTTTACTCCAATTTTCCAAACACATCCACACATGTGTAATTTAAGCATAATTTTTAATTATTTGGGTTAATGTTATTATATAATAAAATATTATTTAAGTACTTCAATCATTCCCGCATTCCAATGAAAGTTTTTCAAGCGCATTTTTTATGATTACCAGATTTTCAATGTTTGTTATATAAGTGATTTTTTAAGTTTCCTTTCTTTTGTTATTTGTTGTATATATATTTCCATGGGTAAATGGTCAACAGAACACGAGGAATACATACACACATGCAACTTAAAATACTGTTAGTTAACTAATTTAAACACAGAGGCGTGTATACGTACTTATGTAGTGATTTTACACATTACGAACCTAACAATAAATTATCAACAATCTCATTATCATAAACTACATAAACTAAGAAATATGAACATGGACGAAAAAAAAACCTAATATGTGGCTGAATGGTTGTACAAAAAAAAATTTCATTAAATATTGACAATCATATTTTGTAGCTGGGATAGAGTACTGCCGAAATGGCTACTTTCCGGTAGATTGCGTATCTGGAGCAACCAATGTTGGCATTCGATGCATTTTCGGTGACGTTCCTCACGAGAAACATCCACGCCTAAACTATTTGACCAAGGATCAATGTTGTCTTGAATAATTGGCAAGAAATTCGAAAGAATCACACGAAGCGTATCGCAACCACGAGTGTAATGGCTAAAGAGAAACCATATACGCAATGATTAAATGGCTAGGTATACATTTTTTAGGAAATCACTTACAATTTGTGTGGACTTTGTAATAATTCATATATTTCCGGTAGCAATAAGAGGCATAAATCTAAATTCCATGAAGAACTATTTGCAAAAAGAATCCATTAGTTGATTAATTTATTTCTTAGCATTTACGACGACTTACGTTTTTTCCATTATCGCGCCTAAGAGATCCACAAACACTGTTCGCCCGGTCTTTATAGCCTGCTTTAGGGCGCCGATAACATCATGAGATCTATGAAACAATAAAATGTTATTAGAAATTGAATCGATATTTAAAAATATGTTGTTTAGACGAATGTGCGCCTTTCGCACCTTGTAGAATTACGGATTAGCTGTAGTGTAGCATTTCTGTTGCTCAGTTCTTGGTAGATTTGCTCATGAGAAGCCAACAGCATTTGAATCTCTAAACTATCATCGATATTCTGATGATTACCGTAGCTCTTTTGGCTCGCGTTGGGTTGGGTGAGTAATGTGGGGTCCGGCCGATAATTGACGGGTATCTAAAACCAAGAGCATATTGAAATTACTTTGCGTACCATAAGAACTTTGAAAAAATTCTCACATTAGAGATGGTGCTGCCATCTGAATTATAACTTGAAAATCTCTACAATGAATACATATAGTTGATTAAAGTATTTATCTTAATTACACGAAACTTACATTTGTTTGTCTCTGAGCCGTAATAGCTGCAGAAGCAGCTTGTCGCTGGGGCGAGCGCAGCTCTAATGTAGTGCGGGAGCGGGTCGGTGGCTTAGCGTATATTTGTACGCTGATATTCTTATTTCTCGCATTTTCTTTATTTAGATTCGATTGTGATTCATTTCCACGCTTTGTCTTGTTTACATAGTGCGATGAGGCAGACTTCTTCAATGACATATTGTCATCTAATTTATGCAAATCTGTGGAACTCACTGATGACACTTGCGACAATTTGCTGCGCTGTTGGTGGGTGCTGGAATTCATATGCGATTTGCCACTCGTCGATATGGCTATTTGAGTGGTGCGTTTTTGTGCGCTTGTTGTTGCTTTCGATTTGGTACCTTTAAATGCTGGAATCGTTTGAGCAGATCCCATTGTCGCTGTTGTGGAACTCACAGAATTAGCTCCATTGTGTTGCTGATGAATATTTTGATTAACTGGGAAATCTTCAACCAACTCTGTATGGTCATAGTTTGATATTATGGGCGGATTACTTTCATTTAAGTTGTATTCAAGGTCATTAGCAAATTCGTTTGTCATTGGCATATGAAGGTAAATATCACGTTCTCCGGGCATTTTCAATGAGCTGGGTCCGTCGAAATTCAGTGAACAATGACCGTTGCCACTAAATGAACTGTATCCAGTGCTGGACGCCATAGAGGAAAAATTATATGGTGGTGATACATTGGATTTGTGCGTCAGAAGCGACAATCCTCTATACGATGCGTCGAAACTCATTGTGCTGCTATTAACACTGTTACTACTCATGCCATTTAAAGGAGGAATAGCGGATATTGGAGCAGGTGGTGGCGATGTCGTCTCCAACAACGATTCGTCAACCAACTCGAGACTTAAATTTGGTGATGAATGACCGTCTAGACTGGGACTTCTGTTATCTTCATTCTCTTCCACAAGTCTCGAAGCCTTTGGGCCTGCAATCGACAGCCTCAACTTCTGGCTGCCTCGAGAAAAACTCTTACGTGTTGTTGAGTTATGATTGAAGGCAGCAGGCGTTGTATTGGATGGATTATAAAACGGAAACACTCGATCAATACTGAGAGCATTAATTGAAACAAGACTCTGTTCGTAGGACCCACAAATCTATAGTTTAAAAGTGAATTGTTAATATTTCAACATACAATATTTATATACGAGTGTGCATGCATTATGACTTTTAACATACCAATTTCCGATTAACAACTTTCATATCACCCAATGCTGTCCACGTCGACATTATATGGTCAAACTCACGATCTGGCTCCCAGCCAATCACAGAGATACCAGCCGCTGTACCAACAAAGAGGCACTCTCCATTCTCACTACAAAAAATCGTTTAATATAAAGCAATTTTACGGCAAATCGTACATACCTGAATGTGATACACTTTATTGGATGGCCATAAAACTGACTTTCAGTTTCCGTCTGTGAAATACGAACTTGGCTTTCCAAATCATATATACAAACTGTGCCATCAACCCGTCCAACGGCTAACAGGAACTCGAATGGGTGAAATTGAATGCAAGTAATGGCTGCAGCAGGAGGCTGCTCAATAAATTCCATTATTTGTTTGCTTTTACGAATATCCCATATAATTACGGATCCTTCTGTACCAGCAGATGCAATCCACAAACCATCAGGCGAGAATTTTACCGAGTTAACCTGGGCGATATGGCCTCGGTATATCTTAATACATCTATTTTGGTTTCTTACATCCCACAGCCTGTGAAGTGAATGATAATATTTTTCCACGTACATTAATATAAAAATATATGTATATATACATATACATATGTATGATTAATAACATTTAAAACGCTACAATAATTAAAATCAGAATTGCGACAGCAAATCGGACCAAAGTTGACGATTTTAGTTGATTATGTTGTGGTGAGTGACGCGGGGAATAAACTCTTTAACACCACACCCTCCCAAACAATAGCAAATTCTTGAAATTCAATATATTAAAACAAATAAGCGATGTACCATGACAATATAGCATACAAAATATACTATTCAAAAGGTCGAAAATAGAGGCATCAAATCTAATCTTTTATTTTAATCATTATGGTGAAGAGTAACCGAAGACGCAAACCACCAGCTGAAAATAACAATCCGAAAGAAAGCAAAAACGATAAACGTCAAGCAAAGCACACGCGAAGTGAGACCGAACAAAGGTTACAAGATAAATACGTGTTTTGCTGGATTTTTCAATCATCTTCAACGGCAAATCAGTCAGTAAATCTGACAAAGTGGTCTGGAATAGTCCCATATAATCTAAAGCGAAATAAGGTAAGGGAATACGCCTTAGTGAATATTATTTTTGTTTTTCAACTTGGGAAGCAAAAGCAAATTTATGAGGCAAATTTAAATATTCAATTGTAACAAAGCAATCGAACTTTGTTCCACAGTATGTGGTACCTTTTAAATAAATTACATCTTTCACATTTGTATTAGTGTATATATAAATTTGTACATGTACATATATTTATGGGATTATCAAGCATTTTTATCATTTTTGCACAAAAGCGAACTTTATGACGAGAAATTTATTTAATCAGATGTAAATCCTTAATTATTTCTAGAATAAAGTCTAAGCATTCGCCAGCGACAATAGAAATTTAAAATATTCCTAAAAATACTTAGAAGCAAAAGCCAAATGTCAGAGGAATTACGCTTCGATGGACGGGTTGCTGTGGTCACTGGAGCCGGTGCGGGTTTAGGTCGTGAATATGCACTGCTCTTTGGCACTCGCGGTGCCAAAGTGGTGGTCAATGATTTAGGGGGTAGTTTTCAAGGAGAAGGTGCATCCAAACGTGCCGCTGATGTAGTAGTTGATGAAATTCGTGCACTGGGTGGCACTGCTGTTGCGGATTACAATTCTGTAGTTGACGGTGCAAAGGTCATTGAAACGGCTATCAAGAATTTCGGGCGTATTGATATATTGGTGAATAATGCGGGTATACTACGTGATCGTAGTATTGCCAAAACCTCCGAGCAAGATTGGGATTTAATACACGCAGTTCATTTGAAAGGCAGCTTTAAATGCACACAAGCTGCCTGGCCATATATGCGCAAACAAAATTATGGTCGTATCATTATGACATCTTCAAACTCGGGAATTTATGGAAACTTTGGTCAAGCGAACTACTCCGCTGCGAAAATGGGACTAGTAGGTTTGGCCAACACTGTGGCAATTGAGGGAGAGAAAAACAATATACATTGCAACGTTATTATACCAACTGCTGCTAGCCGCATGACAGAGGGTATTCTTCCGGACATGCTCTTCAACGAACTGAAACCGAATTTAATCGCACCTGTTGTCGTGTATTTGTGTCATGAATCATGCGAGGATAATGGTATGTGATATTTTGAACAAAAAAATTACAGAACAAATATATTAACTAATTTTAAGTTTAGGTTCCTACATTGAGAGTGCGGCTGGCTGGGCGACTAAAGTGCACATTGTTCGTGGAAAGGGCTGTGTACTGCGTACATCGATTGACGAAAAGGCCACCTCACCGGAATATGTTAAGATTGTTTGGTCAAAAGTTACTGATATGACAGACGCCAAACATTTGGATAACATTAGTCAAGCTTCAGGGTATCTATTGGAAGTGCTGGAGAATTTGAAGGAAGGGAAAATTGGAGGAATTGAAGATACCTTCAAGTATAGCAGCAAAGATTTAATTTTATATGCCTTAGGCATTGGGGCCAGTCTCACAAATCAGAACGATCTTAAATTTCTATATGAAAATCATCCAGAATTCACCGCAATTCCTACATATTTTGTTCAACCCGGCCTATTGCTTAGTATGACATCTAATCTAGTGGCCAGTGCCCTGCCATCGGGCAACGCAGATCTTTCAAACATTCTACATGGCGAGCAGTATTTAGAAATATGTGATGACATTCCCACTAGTGGCACACTCACTACTACCGGAAAGGTTTTCGATTTAATGGACAAGGGCTCGGGCGCTCTTGTTGTAACCAATAGTGACACATATGATGAAAGTGGCCGGCTATTGGTTAAAAATCAGAGTTCCATATTTATTGTCGGTGCTGGCAAATTCGGAGGAAAAAAGACACCAATTGCCGGTGTTATACCCATTATAAATGCACCAAACCGAAATCCAGATGCTACAATACATTACAAAACGTCAGAGGATCAAGCGGCTTTGTATCGCCTTTCTGGCGACTTGAATCCACTACACATAGATCCTGACTTCGCCACCTTAGCCGGATTTAAGACACCCATCTTGCATGGTCTTTGTTCGTTGGGATTTTCTGTGCGTGCAGTTTTAGCACAGTACGCCAACAACAATACATTGCTTTTTAAAGCTGTAAAAGCACGGTTTTCAGCTCCGGTAATACCGGGCCAAACTCTGAAGATTGACATGTGGAAGGAAGGCAAAAGAGTTCTCTACACCACCACCGTTGTTGAAACTGGAAAACAGGCAATAATTGGAGGATATGTAGATCTAAAAGATACTTCAGCCAAATTGTAAATGTATGAAAGGCAGATTTATCGTATTTTAATATTTTATATGGTTGTTAAGGGTGGACTTGCTTATACACAATTTCAATAAATGCTTGTATTATATTCCTTATCAAAAGATCGGTTTAATACATTCTATATTAGTTCACATGTTCATGTTGGCCTCATTAAGTTCTAAGACGGAGTAGGTCTTTTGGTGAATATAAATTTGAAGTTGATTTACTGTAGAAAGTACTGGTAATTACGCTAACTACTTTCTTTTCAAACCAGTTTCATACTTCATTAAAACACTATACTTAAGTAGCGGTAAAACCGCATAAACTTTTTACATACATACTGAGCAGATCATAACGTAAAACTAAATTAATATATCATGAACATACTACTAGCATAAAACTAAACACAGTATATTATTAAAATTCGCTTCGAAGATTAATTAGTTTGTTGACAATACGAAATAAAACCAAAAGACGCTGTCTTGACAATGTCTTTCTACCTTTCATGAATGGCAAGTAATGTGCGTACTCGCATACATACTTTCATAAGCATAAATATGAGTATGTTTAAATGTGTTTTTTGGCGGCCACAGCAGCCGAGTAGTTAGTATTGCGTTCTACCATTCGAAAGGCCCGGGTTCAAATCCTGCTGCAATCAACATCCAAAAGTTTAGGAAATTGATTTAATTATGAAAAAATAAGTTCTATTTTTTAATCGCGGTCGCCCCTCGGCAGAGAATATCAACCCCTCCGAGTGTATTTATGATAAATAAAAGCTAATCATAAAAAACCATCAGCCGTTCGGAGGCAAAAAAACAGCAAGACGCAAATCTCGGAGGAGCTCGGCCGAAATACGCTACAGCAGTTATAAAGCGCCAATTATATATCCACAGAAAACACTACCGGGTTTTTAATTCAGTCCAAGCCCAAAAAATGTAAAGTATTAATCATCAACGACAACGTATAAGCTTGTTTCGTACATCCAAGCTGCGTGGGCTTAAAGATATTTCAGAGAAGAATTTCATTAAAAAGCACAAAGTTTAAACTCGATATATATCTGAAGATACTAGTACATATAAACACAAATCACATAATTAATACAATGTAGATACACTACAGTCATGTAATCATGTCCACATATTTTGCTTATTTGGAAGACTGCACAAAAATCTCGTTTTACTATCTAATGATTTTAATTGACAAGGCAGCAGATTGATACAAAATTAACTTGAAAGCTTGAAACGAAACAAATTGCCACATAATTGGAGTAATTTCATATATACAAATCCAAGCGATTTTAATTGAGCATCAATTAATACGATACCGAGATTTAAATTCAATTGAAATATGAAGAATTCGAAACGTATATATGTATATACAAAAGTAAATGTGACTACCCACTGTTAACAATATGTAAACTAACGAAAACAGAAAAAACGCCTACGCGTCTCAAGGCGCTAAAATTGTGTTGTTACTATGTTTGAAAGTTCATTGCAATGCAATACCTACTACAGCGGAGACCCATTTCAAGTTAACAAAGTTTAAAAAAAAAAATTATAAATTCATTTTTACTCCGCTTATGTTGATAAACTTACCTGACAGTGGTATCATTACTGCCCGACACCACATATTCTCCGGATGGATTAAAATCTAAAGTGCGTACACTTTTCATGTGACCATTCAATGTCGAACATATGGTCTGTGCGTTTAAGTCCCACCGCCTAATAATGCCAATATCGTCGGCTGAATAAACGAAATCATCGTTATAGGCAAATCTTACACAATCAATAGGCCTGTTGTGTCCGGTTAGTGACTGAAATTATTATTTAGGTCCTTGTGTTATTAAAGCCTATATCTTTCATTGGCTTACTTACCATGAAGAGCTCTTCCCGACCGATGGCCCATAAGTTCACATTGCGATCTTGCCCACCCGTTACCAAAACACTACCAGTTTCACCAAGGTCAAGACTGGTGACATTGCCATCATGAGCTTTTATCTCATCTGCGGTTAAAAAAAATAGTTGGGATAAAGGGAAGACATCAAAGTAGGTACATTTAATAATTGTGTTATATATATGTATATATGAACAATTTTAGTCTTACATATTTTTGCTGTTAACTTTCGAGCCAATGCCATAACTTTCAGCCACCTCTGTAATCTTCAGCGCTTACTTTTTTACTTTGTATATTCACTTTCTGTCAAGAAGAAACAATTTCCTGAATCTCAGAAACTGTCTGTCTTTTATTTTTATTACGCTCACTTTTCTTGATATTGTTCATTCGTCGACTACTCTGTCGTTGCCGTCACCATTGTTACCGTTTACTAATTCTACAAATCTCAATTTTTTTAGCCCAAGAATTTTTCACGTACCCGTCGTCACCGTCGCCGCCACAGCCGTTACTTTTTTACGCAATTTTCTATTTTCGTTTCAAATCACGCAACAATGATACATGGATGCTTTCCAATTATAAAAATACAACACAAAACTTTTATTTGATTATTTTGCGCAAAATAAAAAAGAAAACAAAATTTCTTTCTTTCGTCGTCGTCTTGACGTCGTTTACTATGCGCTGTCAGAAACACCAAAAACACCATATGAGAAAATGGAAAATGACGAATCGCACAATGCAATTAAAACCAAATGAAACTGATAAAGAATATCACAAAGAGAATCCGAAAAACAAGACTGCCAGCCCCGCGCCTTGGAGCATTGATAGCTAGCCCATTGAAAATGTTGTCAAAACATTGTTTTATTGATATAAAACTTATTTATTTACCTATCTATGATACTTACTGAACTTTAAAATAGTTTTGGAAAGTTTGAAGCAGCTGCGAACTTTTTATAAACATTTCCCACCACGAAAAAATCTATTTCACCACTTAACCTTTCCGATTTTGTGTCACTGGCCCTTCTTAGTACGATGTCTCTTTGATTTTACCAGTGGCACTATATCAAAGGCATTTCAGATGATAATCATCATAATGACAACATTTCATAATGATCTAGATATCCAATTTTCGAAGGATGGCGGGTAAAGACAGGTGAGAGAACCTTCTCTAGACAGGTAACATATGCATTGGCATTGTACATACATTTTTGTATTATTGTGTCATGGCTCCTTTAATCAGCTGGAATGATTTGGCTCGAAAAAAATTACTTGATTGATTTTAGATTTTTGTCCACTTAGAAGGGAAAAATCTGGTAACACTAGAATGAACTGCACAGCTGTTGACAACTAATTAGAAACGCTTTCTTCTTGTAAGTAATACACGTATATTCAAATTTACCGTTATATTCTCTTAATAACAACACTTTTTTTTGTTGGTCTGTTTACTACTCAATGGCCCCCGATTAGTAGTTGTGCATATCAAGTACTATTATTACTTTCCAACGTTGGGCGTGCATTACTTGGTGTAAAGTAAAAAAAAGTGCGACTGTTAATTAGAAACGATGGTTCAATAGTGACATATTCATAACGTTGTGTTGTTTTAATGATAATACTACTAATTTTTGATGAGTATTAGTCTAAAATTTATTATTTGAAATCAATTAAAATGTTTATTTCAAGATTTGTGATAAGAAAACACAGCAGCTGTACACATGCTTTTCTTTCAAATTCCCGAGCAAGTCAAATGTTCCAAAAAGATGGTTTTTAATGCGTTAAACATATCCAGAATTTTAAAACTGTTGCAAATGTCAAACGCAAAAAAGGCCCCTGAAAACTTCAGCAGGAATAGTCCACATGATGGCAGTGATCTCGTGAAGAGATCCAAAAAAGGGTTCCTCGGACATTCAACGTGAAATTTCGGATAAATTCACTGTTCAAATATCGAAGAGAATAATTGCACGACGTTTGATCGAATCTGGGTTTCATGGGAGTGCAGCACGCAAGTAATCGCTTCTTATCTAAGTCCAAAGAAAATGACTTGCTGATTTCGCCGATTATCATTGGTCTGATGGTGGGAGGTATGATCCGCGGCTCATTAACCAAGAATTTAATCCTCGCTATGTTTCACGTGAAGCATCGGGGAGCATCAATCATGGCATGGGAATGTTTTTCCTGGAATAGTAATGGTCCACACTATAAGATAAGTGGAGTTTTACATCAGGAGAAATACGTCGGCATACTGGAAAACGTCACGTTGCCTTGAGCTGAAGAGAATTAGCCTGTTATATAGAAATTTCAACAGGATAACGTCCCAAATCGCACCGCAAAGTTGAGGAAAAAATATTTTGACGAAAATTCCATCAATGTTTTAGAATTGTCATCAACCAGTCCAGACTTGAACTCTCTGAGATGACGTTAAACGAGTCGTTTTTGTCAAAATTAAAAATGAATGTCCCTTTTAAGGATGTAAGAACGGTGGCGCGCTGTCGAAATCTTATAACATCAATGCGAACTCGGTGTGAGGCAGTGTTAAAGCAGAAGGGTTATGCAACCAAATACTAACTAAAAGTAATCATATTATTTTAATACCATTATTTCTTCTATTAAAATATTTTCGTGTCTAATTTGGTATTTAATTCAATTCATGGATTTCACACGTTTTTGAAAAAAAAATATCTAAAAATGAATTTTCAATAAATTACTTAGAATAAGATTTTAAGTTTTGTATATACATATGTATGTAATTAAATAAAATTAGAAAACAAGTTATGAAAATGCGTGCTTTAATGGGTAAATAGATCATCCAATTTAAAATAGCATCATTTCTGATCAGCTGTCAACAGATGTACGTGAGTAGGGAACGGTTGGAGAGCACTATTTTGTGAGTAATTTTATAAATAGGCCGAATCCCCGTTAATGTCGCGTTCCGTAGTGTAACAGCGTTGGTAACAATACCCGAAATTTGTCTTTCCCTAGCATCAAGGAACGTATAAGAACGTTCTCTGGTATGAGACTATTTCACTACCAGAGATTGACAAATATTTTACAGATGAATGATGTTTGGAAGACAATTATAGTCCATATGCTTTTTGCAATCGATCCTTCTTATTATTTGGCGTCCTCTGGTATTGTCTTATACAGTAATTTTGAAAAATAGAGCCTAGTGTTTTCCGAAATAAATTTAGATTAAGTGATTATGTTTCGAAGAGTGTCACATCAACTGCATTTTTTGGGAAAATAAACGAATGAAATGATTCCGGTGCTTTAGTACACCCTGTGTAGGACTTTTCGAATGAATATTTATGAACTTAAGTCTGGCATCAATGGATTTCGAACTGAGAGCTGGCAGCACCGTAAAAGAAGCTGACAAACACTTTTTGAGTCTTTGTGATTATTGCTCGCCGTATTTTACTATATTCTTCATATCCTTTGAAAATATAAAATCTATAGAAAATGTCTGCTCGTTATGACCGCGCCGTTACCATATTCTCACCAGATGGGCATTTGTTGCAAGTGGAGTACGCTCAAGAAGCTGTGCGTCGAGGATCTTCAGCAGTAAGTAACCTTAACCTCCTACATGAACGTTCTCTTTAATTGGGATGAAATACAACTGCAGGTTGGTGTACGTGGAAAGGATGTTGTTGTTTTGGGCGTGGAAAAGAAGTCTATGCCTACTCTGCAATTGGAACGGACGGTTCAGAAAATCTGCACCTTGGATGACCATGTAATTATTGCCTTTGCCGGTTTAACCGCCGATGCACGAATTCTTATTAACCGAGCAAGAGTTGAATGCCAGAGCCACAAATTGAATGTGGAAGATCCAGTTACTTTGGAGTATATTACACGGTAAGATTGTAAAATAAGTGAAAAGGACATCAATTAAAACGGTTGAAAAACTACTAACCTTTAGGTACATCGCCCAATTGAAGCAAAAGTACACACAGAGCAATGGTCGGAGACCTTTCGGCATATCCTGTTTAATAGCCGGATTCGATAGCAATGGGGATCCTCATTTATATCAAACAGAGCCCTCAGGAAACTACTATGAATGGAAGGCAAACGCTGTTGGGCGGGCAGCAAAAACTGTGCGAGAGTACTTGGAGAAGCACTACAAAGAGGAAAGTGTCGCAAATGAAGATTCCGCTATAAGGCTTACAATAAAAGCGTTACGTGAAGTAGCACAGTCAAGTGGAAATTTAGAAATCGTTGTCATGAAGAAAGCGGAGAAACCAGGCGAAACACCCAAGTTAATAACGCTTTCCTCAGAAGAGGTAAGGAAACACGTTGAAGCTATTAAACAAGAAAAAGAGGAAAACGATAAAAAGAGCCAAAAGAAATAAATATTCGGCTAGAATATCTTAGAATCTAATTATAATATCTTTATTTTATCGAAACACTAAGAGTTCTGTAATCGCGAATAAAACACCTTAATAAAGATTTGTAAAATCCTTCGTCTAATTCATTCTTTATCTAATATAAATATCACATTGGGTTAGTTTATATAAACATTTGTCTTAATTTATATGAGATCACTAGGAGATAACTGTGATTCGCCTTCAGCTAAATATATTTGCATTGCTCTATATAATAACGATATTCCGAAGAACTTTTTCTCTTTCATGGTCCAGGTTTGTGCTGGACCATAGTAGTCGCCGCGTTTGTAATTTGTCAAATGCTGCATGCTAAATGCATCGATTATAGCGGCTTCTCGTGTATACGCTTCAGTCGGCAATATGTTATGGAAAACGTGAAGACACACCACACCTTTTCCGCATCGCCAAATGTCCAGAATTCGTTCCAGTTTTTTGTTTTCCGAGGGTTGTTTGGAACTTGTTTTGAAAATATCTACACTTACAGTTTGTTTTCGAACTGCTATAATGAAAAGTAGGAATGCATTAACTATTGGATATATATAAAGAATAAAGCATATTTTACATGAAATTTTGTCTCGTTGTGAATGTACTATTTCTGTTGTGCTGGTCGATAACTTCTTTTGACTTTGAACATGTGAATGTAACTTCATAGCCTCATATAAATGGGAATACGGACGAGAAGTTTTTCCTTTCCCCACGTAAAAAACTGATTGAAGAAATCGGGTCCAAGCATTATACTTGTCAATGCACTAGCATAAAAAACGAATAAAATTGTACATTTATATATGGGCTCATATTGGTAAACAATATCCAACTTTGTTACCATGCTTTCTCCTGGTAAATTACAAGAAATTCGAGGGTCAATTAGCATATATATAAAACTTTGTTTAAGGTGACCTTCCCTCATTTTATGTTTATTTTGCAACGTCGCAAAGTACTCGGACGATTTAGACTCATACTTTTGATAATTTGTTATGAGTGCAAATTGATCAGGCGAACGTATAGTGCGTTGCAGCTCTACCGAATACTCTAGAAAATTAGGTAAATTTTGAAAATAGTACACCAATGAAGAGGTACATACATACTTGCAGTGTCATTGCTGATATCTTTTCCAATGGCATTACATTGTAAACTTTTTGGTGTATTTTTTCTATATTTAATAAGTCGCTTTATATATAGTTTTTTTGTGCTCTTGGTTATTGGTCCTTTAATGTAAGAAAAAAAAAAAACAAATATTTGAGAGCATTCGAATATATATATGTATACATTCACAATACTAACCTGGAGGATCGCCAAAGTGTTTCAGCTCAGCGCGTAGTTCATCTGTTTCGTAGTCCAAAGGGGTGGTCACATTTGTCGACATTGAACTATTCAAATTTTGTTGTTCACTTAAAAATACAAAATTTCATGCTCTATGAACTATACATATACATACATATTTAATACTTGAATTGCCTTTACCATTCTTTAGCACAAGTCTTTTGATTACTGAGTAGTTTCGTTTCGTAAAAGACTAGTCCATTCTCATCATCCGTGTGTACGTATGCTTCAGTCATCTGTAAAATGTATTCCTCCGTCGTATTTTTTGCGCCTCCAACTTCTAAATTATTTTCGCATGGATTTTTTAAGCAATCATTCACTATTTTTTCATTTTTTTCACCCTCTACTGCATGATAACTACTCTCAAGTTCTGAGCCAGTTGCTGAATGCTCCATATCCACGACATGAGCTTGAGCCGCTTTTTGTATTATAGCGCCTAAGGACAAATTTGATTTCGGCACCAACTTTACTTCGGGTTTGGTTTCTTCTGAAGTTGATTTCTTATCTTGCAGTACAGTGTTAGTGTAGTTAAGATGATCGCTTTTCATTACTTCATCCAACATTTCCTCTACGTTGTCATAGTGTCTCAAAATCGACCTCTTAGCTCGCGAGGACTCCACTTTTTTACGCCATGCTTCAATCATAGATACACAAGAGCGATCCAAGTTAGAAGTAGCTAGCGAGAGTTCTTTCAAATTTCTCTCTGTTAGAGCGAATACATTAACAGACTCTTGTGGAATATTTGAAATCTGCTTTAGATCTGTTACCTATTGTTTAATAAAATAAAATAACTAGGTAAAATATTTTACAGTTCTGAGAGTTATGTATACCGAAAATTTTCTTACTAATTACCTCAGAATTTAACTCCTCTAAGTTTATACACCCGAAACTGGGTGAAACAACTTTTGCTTCTGGTGTGGATTCAATATTTGGAAATATTGGTTGTGGTCTGTGTCGCCGATGAGTGATGTTAATATAATAAGGAGAAGTCACATCATAATTGTAGTGAATACGGTTGGGTGTGTATTTGCTGTGTGGTGTCTCTTGGCTTCCAGTTTCTTCAGCAAATAAATTATAGATCTTCTTATTAATGGGTGTCCTATTCGAGATATTTTCCTCCTTTGTATTAACCAGTTTATTGGGAGAGACATTTGCATGAGTTTTTTCTTCAAGTCGTTTTTCTTGCACTTTTTGAAATTTTTGCTGGAATATATGATTCCGAATCGCCTCCAACACCTCAAAATGACACTCCTCGATGGCATAGTGAATTGGAGTTTTACGTTCATCGTCAAGAAGGTCATGCCGAGCACCATATTTCTGCAATATTTCGAAAGTTAAACACTCAATTTACTATTTTATTATACTATAGACTACTACCAAAAGTAAAGTGGCTATCTCACAACGTCCGAAAATAGCTGCCACGTGCAAGGGGGTCATATCTTCATTCGATCGAACATTAGGATCAGCTTGAGCGGAAAGTAAGAAATATTCTTATTAAAAAATAAAATTAAGATGTGAAATTTTTATTTTAAATAATTTGTAAGCGTCTGGAGAAGTTACATGTATTTATTTTTTGTAAATATTTTGGTTTAGTGGAACTGTTATAGCAACAAGTCAAGTTTGAAATAAAAGTTAGATGTGCAGATATTTACGGCAAAATCAACTCAGCTCGTCTTGCCACTTACCTACTTATGTATATAAATTTGAAACTCATGACGTTTTTAGCTAAACCTTATTTGAAAAAAGCATCTAAATGAACTCACCACCATCTTTGAGAAACCTTTCTATGATTTCGAAAGCTATTGCTGCATTCTCCATCCCACATGCGTAGTGCAGAGGGGATATGCCTCGTTCAGTGGGCACATAACTAGCATCTACTTTATTTTTGCCTAATATTGCAAATATATCACTGGTAATTTAGATTGATGTAGTTGTAGGTACATAGAAATAAAAATAGAATATAAATTTATAAAAACATAGGCAATATACAGTAAATGGCCACTGCTGTACTACCTTTCATTTCCATCCTCCAGTGCATCCAATAATATTAGAGCGAGAAAATTTGCCCGCTGATCGACTTGAAAACTAGACATTCGGTGGTCACTCATAATAATTTTACTTAATAATAATCTATTTTCCTATATTGATTTATTATTTTTTAGTATTTGAAATGTAAGGTCATAATTTCTATATTACTTTAGAATTTATATTTACTTTATACTTGGCTATGTATTTAAAGTTTTTGTTTAAATCAGGGTTGCATTTATTAACACTGCATGTTCGATTTTCTATAAGTATCGTAATGTACCGCAGGCGTGTTCCTGTGGAACATAAAGCTGAGATATGTCGCGTAATCATATATCATTTTAAATAAAAAAAAATATATATATTAAAATTAAGCCACAATTAAACGGTGTGATAAAATACTAGATATATTATTTGCGTTAAGATTTTTTTTGAATTTTAGCTTGAAAAATTAAGTGAGGTATGACACTAGAAGAAAAGGATAATAATATAAAATTCTATATATTTATATCAAATTCCATTTACATAGTGAAAATCGGAATCTTTTCAATATTAATATCAGTTTATTGATGCAAATGGTTCAGAAACTAATTCGATTTTGAGGATAAGGTTCACAATTCACTAGCGATACGTATTCATTTCATAGTAATTTAGGCAGGCAAAAATAAATATTATACTTTTACCTAGCACATTACCTTAGTTTTGGTTTTTAAACATCCTTATGCTCTGTTGTTGATTTATCAGTCTTCAATTTTATTTGGTTTATGAACAAAAAATGTGATTTTTATAATTAAATAATGGATTTAAATGTGAAGGCAAATTGAACTTTATTTGTTGCACGAATTTAAAAGTGTATTTATGTGGGTGTGTATGTACAATAGATTGTTATAATAGAATCACAAAGCCAACATCGTCCTCAATATACCAATTTCAGTTGTGCATGTTTGCCAGCAGAAATGTATGTACATATTTATATACATACGTACCGACAAATATGCATACATTTGTTAGTTTATTATTTAACCGACACCAGGTTTTCACACAAATTTGTCACTTGACGGTATTTTTCGACTTTCAATGACACTCCTGTAATAATGTGCCGAGTTTTTGGCAACACGCTCTTTATTTTCGCTTGTCATGTTCAAGTAATAGAGACCGAACTTTTCACTGCAATGAAATGAAATGTTTATAATGTTTGATTTAAGGTGTCGCTAGCACGCAATCGCAAAGTGCCAAAGTGCCAAAAAGCAGCTCGAATTAAGCACATTAACTTACGTAAAGCCCATATTCCACTCAAAATTATCGATTAAACTCCAATGGGAGTAGTGTGTGACGTTACACCCATCGTTGATTGCATTAAGGACTGCTTGCAAATGTGACTGTAAATTGATAAAAAAAAACGTTTCGTCAAACAATTGCTTTTGTATATGTACATATGAACACGTATGTGCGTATGTGTAGCCTGCAATTACGCTACTACTACTAGTCTACCGAAATATACTCAGTACTTAAATCTAATGCAGAAGTTAGTGCATTAATTCTTTGACAATCAAAGAATAGTTTGGTGACTAACATTGATAGGAGATTAAAGTATCACCATTACCAAAATCTACAATGTCTCTTCAGTTTGTAATTCACATTTTTAGTAATTCAAGGAATGAATAAAATGTATAAAAGCACGAATTGATCGTCTGTCATTAATAAATTTAATTGCGTTTGTACTTCTTATTGAAAATTTCTTTTGCTTTGACTTTCACTTTTCGTTTAATGCGTGAACTGTTATTGCAAACCAAATATTCAATTAATTTAATGTTTAATTTCACATCGCTTTTGATTCTCGACATTATCCACGACATTAAGGTCAATGCTTTAATGTACTTTAAGATTACCTTGAGATATGTAACGCGGTCTGTGTCGTTTAATGCGCCGTCATCTGACCAACCGTTTTCTGTGATGTAGACTTCAACATTGTTGTAATTATCACGAATCCATCTTCAAATTTATGAAAAATATCTAAATTTATAAATCTTTCCTCAAGCCCAGTACGGGGGGCATGCACACTCACTTCAAAATATCCTCCAAACCTTGGGGTACACAATAAAGCCATTTGGATTTTGCTCGTTTCCAGTTTTTATCTATCAAGTATTTAAGGCCTGAGTCATGTTCCCAAGAAGGAATTTCTCCTTCGGCAGGATAAGACATCTTTACAAAACGAGAGGTGTAGTAATTTAGTCCCAAAAAGTCCCCAGAACCTTTTAAGATTTCCGTCCAATACTTGTTGAAAGGACGTAAGCGAGTCCATGCAAGTCCTTCTTTCACACTATTGCTCAATATATCCTCAATAATTGTATAGGGATAATTGCCAGATGCACCATAAATGGGATGAGCGAGCCAACCAAGCTGCCAAATGAAATAAATTATGTAAACAAATTGTATTAATTTTATAATTAGAAGTTTTACCGCATATTGCATTGCTCGATCCACAACTTCGTCGGAACCAAAATATTTGGTGGACGTATAATAAAAGCGACTGCTAATAGTGATCCCCACTTTGCCGCCTTGAGAGCTGGCATACTTTGCCTTGTACAGACGATAGGCCATGGCATGTGCCCTAAGCGTGTTATCCATACATAAATAGTCTGCCACACCTGGTGCGTGAACGATTGGGGGAGACTCTGCATTTCCATAGCCTTGCATACAATAGTCGAACGGTTCATTAAATGTTATCCACTTTTTAACGCGATCCCCAAAAGTCTTAAATAGGAAGTCCGCATAGTAGCGGAAGTACTTAATCATTATTTCATTGGTGAAACCGCCGAATTTAGTCAGCTCGTCCGGCATATCATAGTGATACATCGTCACCATAGGCTCTATATTGTTCTTCAATAGCTCGTTAATTACCATGTTATAGTAGGCAATGGCCTTTTGGTTCTGCACCGTAGTATCTGCTCTTGGAAGTACTCTTGACCACGAAATAGAAAAACGATAGAAGTCAACCTACGAAATGTGGATTAAAGAAACTTACATATATACACTCTGTATACAACTTAATGTACCTTCAACTCCTTCAAGGCGACCAAATCTTGTGCGAAACGATAATAAGACTCTGCAGCATTATCGCCATTTGAATGGTCAGCTATCCTATCTGGATGTATATGTGTGTAGGTGTCCCAAATGGAGGGTCCCTTTCCATCTGCATTCCAAGCGCCTTCGATCTGATAAGCGGCAGTTGCCACACCGAAGGCAAATTCCTTCGGAAATTTGGTGTTATTTCCCTTGTGCTGTAACTGACATGACTCCGGCCCGCTTATGTATTGCGAATCCACACAAGCGATCAATAGGCTAAAAATTTATTTATGTATATGAAACCAAGTATTGTGCCGATTTGGTTTACTCAATAAATACCATAGCACAAGTGCAAGCTGCTGCCCCATCTCCGGTTGCATTATCACTGCAAACAGAAAAGCAAGCTTAATCTGGCAAGCAATTACTTTGGGTCATTGCGCAGATCAACAAACAACAAGTGTTCTTATCTCTTTCTACCTCCCTTGTGCGATTCGAGGCTCCTCTCCCTGCTCAGACTATTCATATTGAATTTCTTTGCAGATAAGCAACGCCAGCATGTGCAACTATTATCTGCATAAATATATGTATGTACATACGTGTATTTTATATACAGGTATACGAAATAGGCATTCCATAATTCTTTATATGTATTTAAAGAGAGGAGTCTCATCATTTGTTTACGACTCATCGTTTTTAGTGAAGCATTGAACACAACACTCTGTGTTTAAATCTAAAATATTTCAGCGACATTCAGTTCCAGAGAATGCTCTTGCAGTTATTTGATTGGCTGGCCAATTGATAAGAATTATTGTAAGAGACAGAGTTGTCGATTGTTTTGGAATTACTTATTTATGGTACTGTATACAAACTTTGTGGTTCGCCAATGATCGGAAGAAATTTATAAAAGATTTGTTGAATGGTAAAAGTGTCACTTTGGTACTCGGAAGTGCGTAATTAGGTATAACGGTGTATTTCATCTTGTTCATATTGTATATAATAATATTATTGCTGTTTGTTTGACTCGCTTGGCCGCCATATTTGAATAGCGAACCCCCGCCGCTGTGTTACTTCTTGGGCGTCACATCGTCCATCTCTTCTATCGATGCATGGGCGCCAATCAACGATATGTTAACAAATTTCGCTTTGATGCGGATTGTGGTGATTCATTCACCGGGTGATTCCCGACATTCGACGGCCGAATACGGTACCAAATTTGCGCTCCCGTCCGTCCTTGTCCCGTTTATCTTACTTCCCCTTACTTCTCACATGGCGGTGATGTAAGTCTAAAGTCTTACGAAAGTTAATGGATCGAACATTCCACGTTTGCAGTGTTCGTCATCATAAGTGAGTTATGTCATCAAAGGCTTTGGAGTAGTATCTATGTATGTGGCAGATCACAAGCCCAGCGAACATTTCGATAGCCGAGAAGATTCAAATTTAGCACGCATTTATTTCTGGTGAACAGATCCTACAAGCACACCACGGAGTGCCTCTACTGAATTTTCCTCTCTTTTAGACTTGATCCAAGGGTTGGTTACCGCATTTCACCCGAGAGCTGTTCATGTTTCCAGGGTGTGCGACGTAGATACAAGAGCAGGAATTGAGCATAACTCCCCAACAGCCGGAGCTGTGTATCACAAGACAGAAAGCAACAACAACGTGCCAATTCTGCTATGTTGAATTATCGTTTATCACAAAGCTCAAAAAAAAAATTTTTTTTTGAAGATATGAAATTTCATAATTTGCAGGAGATTATTAATTCATGACTCCATAAGGCCATATGATTGGTCATGAGCAATTTCTCTTTATTCCACAGCGAGTGACACAACGGCTGTGCTACCTCTTTAGAATTTTAATTAGTGGAACTCCATTCCGTTTATGTTGAAACTTAACACATTTTTATTGATTAACCATTTACACTTCAAACAACATCACACTTAATTACATCATAAGTGGAACTTGCGCGCTTAGCAAACCAGCCAAAATGCAGTTGAAGAGGCTAGACCGCATCGCAAATGTTCCACTTACCAACGGAATTTGATGGGTTTCAATGACCTTCCTATAATATCTGGCGGATTGCTTAGCAATGCGATCTTTGTTTGGACTTGACCGGTTCAAGTAATAGAGACCGAATTTTTCACTGGAAATAAGAAGATCGAATATTATAAGATGCCATGAATCCGAATACTAACGCTTACGTGTATCCTTTATTCCATTCAAAGTTATCTACCAGACTCCAATGGGAGTAATGTGTGACATTACATCCATCGTTGATTGCATTGAGGACTGCTTGCAAATGGGCCTAAAGCGACGTTATAAATATTTTTTAATAACTTAAAGTTAAACAATACCTGTAGGTAGTCAATACGACCTGAGTCGTTCAACTGACCATCGTCCGACCAACCATTTTCCGATATGTATACCTCAACGTTGTTGTAGCTGTCTTTTACCCACCTAAGTAAGGGTTCACAAACATTTTAATAAATACAAAAAGTAAAATACGATCAGTTGATTTTGCAATTGTACGCACTTCAATAAATCTTCCATTCCTTGCGGTACACAGTAAAGCCAATCTGATTTTGATCGTGTCCATTTATCATCAAATGAGAGTTTAACTTTTGAATCACGTTCCCTAGAAGGCACCTTACCTCCGGGAGGAGAAGCCATTTCGGAATACATGGAAGTGTAGTAATTAAGGGCTAGGAAATCCCCGGATCCCTTGATGATTTCGGTCCATGTTTCATTCATGACAGGCAATCGTGATGTCGGTAGACCTTCAGAGTGACTATTTTCCCCAATATCTTTAATCATGACAGCAGGATAATTTCCTGTTTTTCCAAAAATAGGATTGGCTAGCCAGCCCAGCTTTGCAGTGAGAAGTAAAAGTATAAAATCAATATCGTCCATAAGATGTACTGCATATTTTGTGATTTTTATTTACCCCATACTGCATTATACGATTTATAGGTTCTTCTGAAGTTTGATCGTCTTTGTTATAATAAAATCTACTATCCAGGGTAATACCCACTTTGCCCCTTTGAGAGCTGAAGTATTTCTTTTTATACTTTCGATAAGCCAATGCATGCGCTTTCAATATATTGTCTATTGAGATGTAGTCTTCGACACCCGGAATGCGTATCGTATGTGGATACGAAGCGAAATTATGAGAAAATATGCAATACACATAGGGTCCGTTAAATGTTATCCACTTCTTTACACGATCACCAAAAGTTTCATATAAGAAATCTGCATATGCTACGAAATGTCCTGTTATGGAGTTATTTGAGAATCCACCAAAATTATGTAAAATGTCTGGCATATCGTAATGGAACATTGTCACCATAGGCTCAATATTGCTTTGTAACAGTTTGTCTATAACCATATTATAGTAGTCAATGGCTTTTTGGTTCTTCACTGTGGTATCGCCGTTGGGAAGAACTCTTGACCATGTAATAGAGAACCGATAGAAATTTACTTTAAGGTCTTTCAGGGCAGCCAAATCCTGGTCGAAACGATGATAAGATTCGGCTGCATCATCTCCCGCCGAATGATCCAAAATACTTTCGGGGTGGTCGTGTGTGTAAATATCCCACACGGAGGGTGCTTTTCCATCCTCATTCCATGCACCTTCGATTTGATAAGCAGAGGTGGCTACACCGAAAGCAAAATTTTTTGGAAACTCAAAATTTTCTCCTTTAGGCTTTAATTTACATTGAATTACTTTATGTCGTTTAACGCTTTCTATGGATTCGTAGAGAGAGCATAAACTGAAAGAAATAACAGTGGAGGCTTAAACAAATATAGGACAAATAAATGCATATGTCTGCTTTAAATTTTTGCTTTTGGGCTTACCAGAGGAACATTAAGCAACGAATTTTCATACTGCAAACTCTATAAAAACTTGATGGCAAGTTGATTATCCAACGTTCAGTGTTTTTCTTCTTTATTGGCGTTGTCACCGCTTACGCGATTATCGTCAGAATGCGTATCTCAGAGTTAGTTCTCGGGAATCTGACAATAATAAATACTATTAATTTAGTTACTAAGAAGAAACGTCTGCAATAAATAACAGTTCTAATTAAATTGAGGGCAGCGGTAAATGAATTAAAGCGATTAAATAAGCAATCGCAAAGATAATGTTTGCCGCAATTATGCATTGGCTGTGCAACGTCTCCTTTCTTGTCTCTTGTTCATATAGCAAGTGATAACATTCGTCTGAGGTCAAAGTCGTTAAGCGCTATCACTTCAAATTATTTAAATTTATAGTGTGTCTTTGTATAAACGAAGAATGGATGATTAGGCTAATCTGTCGATTTGAGGAGGCCAAGTGTGGAGGGAGTAGTCGTCACTATTATAATCTATGGCTTACCATCCTTTAAAAGTAAGCCAAGACTGACAATAGTAAGTTTCTTTAAAAGAAGCTGATCAACTGATTATTTTGCATTTCGATACAATTGCTGGGTTTTGGTTGTATTGGAATGCTTAAAGTAGTGATGGTAGCTATAGTACGCCAACAAAAATAAGCTAATTAAGGGTCTTTGATGTTCTTTAATAAATGAGATAATAATAATAATTAATAACAGCTTTACTTCCGGTGCATCACTCAAAACTGGCGATAACGGAAATACATGATTGTCATCGCTAATTATATGTGTTTGTCTCGCCGATCAGCTGTGAGAATTTGTTGGTGGTTGGGTCGAGGCGAATTCGCCGTAGTAAACAAAAACATTTGTTAACTATGGAGAAAAGTGTTAAATGCAGTTTAATCAGCGAAAATATATCCAAATTTTTTGTGAATCATCAAAAGTTCAACCATGAAGAGACGCGGAAGTATATATATTCTAATTGGTGTCTGAATTTTGAAGGATTATATGGTTTGTATGAGGCGGACTTAACCCTATTTGATATCGGTAAACTAGTGAACTAAATAAATACGTCTTATTGCACGAATACTAATAATTACTAAAATAATTATAGGTGATTATGAAAGATACTTGAGCTGCTTTAGAAAATTACTGCCCCTTTTTGAAGGAATTCATGATATGTACCAAAATACGGTGGTGGATTTGAATAGTTTTCACTTGGAATGGCTTGGCTGCAACAGGAAATATTTGTTGGATTCCTTCTCAAATTATACCGCTAGAAGTTCAACTCTAGAATTAATTCTGTTAATTTCATCAATGCTAGAAAATGCATTGGGTAATTTATATTTTATTGTCAGCGGTAAACGTACACCACCACATTTATTACGAGACTTGTTACGTACTGAAGAGTTGGATAGTATCTTTGGAATGGAAATAGTAAGTAAATTAATTTGAGGATATCGGATCAATGTATAAGTGTGCAATTTCAGATCTCTTTACTGATAATTATATTGGGAACGCCACATTCAATAAATTTGCGAAACATAGTGTGGCATGGTTTTCCGAAGCCCCGGGAAATACCAGATTATTACGCTTCCGTACTAATCGTATTATTACACAGTATGGGGTATGAGCTCATAAAAAAAAAACATATTGATAACATGATCGAACGCCCTAAAGTTAAAGATTTCAAAACATCGTGTATGCAAGTTTCGAAACAACTTCCATTGTCCACAGAATGGTATGATGAGAGTAGATGTGCTGAACAAGTTAAAGATGCCGACTACTTAAATGATGACTACAAAGAGTATTGGTACCGCATATTGCAATATTATAAAAGCAAAGAATTTTGGAAACTTATAATGTTGATCATACCACAAATTGAATTGATTTTGCGTCTGATTTATGCACGAGCGAATGATTTTGATGTGAGCGCCAAGCTGAACGAATATTACATTATAATGGATTCAATATTTGAGAGTCAAGTCAATGATGCGGAATCGAGGCGCCAAAACAGCATTTTATGTAGTGCTGTAAAGAATGAGGACATCCTGAAATGCGTCTATGATTTGTTCATAGCACCTAAAGGACCTCGTTTAAGAGATAAAATTAGTCATGGTGAGGTTGACATTGCAGCTATTAACAATGTAGAGTTATGTGATCTTTTGCTTTTTTTGTCGATGGGTCTTCTAAGGTATAATTTTCCGTTTCCAAAATATGAAAGTGTTTTCCATTTGAACAGCCTAACAAAAAGCGCATTATGTACCGCAAAGCAGACACTTGGAAAGCTGGTTGAAAAACATTTACCTGAAAAATATGCAAATATGCTGCAGGCATTAAGCGGGAATAAGATGCATAATAGTATACATATTTTCAATCGATCTACAAAGGAGCCAGAATTTATTCTCTTAGTATTCAAAAATTCAAATTTGGTGGAAACAACTTGTGTGAACTACGAACATTCCATTGAAACTAGATTAGAGCTTTTGGCTAATCGAGAATTGCATTCAAAGAGGCGACGAACTCTCGAACGAATGATTGCAACGCTTCCTGGTATCTGCAAAGCTTTGAGTGAGATTTTAAGCTGTTTGCTGTGCATATTTACAAAGCTGCAAAATGATGATTTAATCTATGACCAGAAAGAGGCATGTTCGAGTTTGCTAAGGTAAAATTTTGTAATTTTGGTTTATAAATGTATTGCTACTGGGCACGAACCTTACATTAATTTGTCTTTCAAAAATACCAACAAGTATTTAGAAATGCTGTACACATATACAGAAAAATTCAAGTAAAATGAAATAACCTCTATTTCTTTCGGTTTTAGATTTTTGAAACATACTCTAAAGCTGAATGAAAATTTTGTGAAGTATTCAGACCTAAGTAGCAACGAATGGATAAAAGCAGTCGAGCTGTGCAAAAAATTTACGGATGTAAAATCGCTTCACTATCCCGAACAATATTTCTGATGTTTTAAAAGTAAGTGACACAATTAAGCGAGTTTTCTGTAGCTTTGTTTCTATTTTTCTTTAAGAACTTAATGTCCTTTGCAGCAGTGTCTATGCTTGAATATGCAATTATACTCAATAAATATCTTACCATGACTTCAACGACGTTTGATTTGAAGACTTAATAGCTTTTTAGGGCAATCGAAACTCCGAATCAATGACCTGCGTTACCAAAATGAATTAACATATGTATTTATGTAGACAAATATCGACTTCAATTATAAAATTATACTTTTGTAATCATTTATACAATACATATATTTTATGTGTGTATTTGTAAGCGCAATTGTTTCTTTATAGAAGATTTCCCTTGGCCATAACTTGTTTCCCACCATTTTAACTATGTCACGCATGTCAGTAAAATAATGGACAATACATTTTTGAATTGGAATATTTGTATTTTTTGAAAGAAAAAAAAAACAAAAAACAAATTTATTGCCACATCCCAAACCAAGCGAAGCTTTGTTTGTCTAATATATATACATACATACACCCAGCAGCAGTCAGGCTACTCTCAGCCTAGTGCGAAACTACCTGTGGCCACTATTTAGCTCCAGTGATTCACCTAATATTAGTGATCAAATGTGTTTCATATATTTTGTTTAAACTTTTTTTAATTTTTATCACTGGAAATGCTCATGCATATGTACATATGTATGTATACTGGGTGGGCCAAATAACGCCAACCAATGCTAAATACTTAAAATCTTCTATTATCTCAGTCTATTTCCCTTTAAGTGCTTAAGTATATACCTATGTGTGTCAACTAATTTTAAAAATCAAATGTCCGTATTCCTTTGAAAGTTAAGATTCAGTTGCAAAATTTTCTGCGTTGTTTTAAAAGAATAAAGAACGCCTTTTTCTGCTTTCTTGAGCCAACTAAGCTGAGTTCATAGTGATTAGAGCCACCCTGTATTCGGCGCTATGGTAATCACCAAACCCTATTCGGATAAATTTACACATACAGAATTGTATGTTGTATGTGTGTTTCATGCATATACATACATACATATTTACAAACGTAGCAGCATATAGATTTAGCTTATGTTGCGGCTGAGTGACTTCGAACAGAAAGAGCGGATCTGTTTTACTGAAATGTCGCATGATTGTTGATTTGTTGTTGTTGTGGTTCCGGGAGTGCAACCTAGTTTTGTGGCGAAGCTGACGGGTTCGTTGCCTGCCTGACTTAGTTGGCGGTAGTAGCTGTTTTTAACATTATTTTCATTTCATCCGTTTGTTGTTGGTAATTAGTGTAGGTGCAGATGTAGTAGTTGTTGTAGCTAGATGTTGCTGCTTAGTTTTTGCTGATCGTCCAATGATAATCGACACATTTTTATTTTTTGTTTTCTATTTTACTGCCGAATACATAATGGCCATAATAAATATACACCGTTGCCACAAAAGTTTTTTTCTGTGACGCTATAAGGCGAGTTTCGTTGAGCACTACAGTCGCGTTTTAGAACCTGAGTCGAGTAGTTGAATTCTGTTCTGACTTCAATACAAATCAATTGCTGTATGTGAAAGTTGGGCTTAAATTATTAATAATATTGGTTAGTCTTATGATATTGCCAAAGGCGCTTCCTTACATTGAATTCAAATTAATTCTACCAATCTTTTCTGTTCACACACAGACCCAAGCGTATTATAGAATATGCATTCCCACCAAGCTCAGCGATGGGTGTTGATATACCCCGCAGTGGTTAGTTGCTGTATACTGCTGGGATGTGCAATACATATACCGCAGGACGTGGAAATACTTGAAGGATATCAATTCGACGACTCTCCAGAATACTACTCAACTGATTCGAATTATTATGAGGCTCGTAGTTTGCTTTCGGGCTTTCACAAAGCGATTCGTAATAAACGTTCAACATTGGAGTATGATCAGGCGAAGGCAGTGTCAGTTGGAGGCGGTGCGCAGCCAAATGGTTTACAGGAATATATTGAAAATGTGGGTAGCCCGCAAATAAAAGTGCACGGAAAGGAGGAGAAAAGTGAGGAGAATAAATTGGAGTCGGATATGCCCCGTGCCGAAAAACAAGTAATGGATCCCGACTATGATTACTACTCACAGCGGCACATATCTGCTTGGAATGATGCTTATGGCTCTTCGCGTCCACCTGTTGATGCCGACGATGTGATGGCAGATGCTAGCAACAGTTATATTGCTCGAGGGCGACAAGCTCGGGTAAATTTCATTACACAACCCAAAAAGGACACACACGATGGCGCCAAAGAGTTGATAGAGCCGGTTGTGCCCAAACTTCCGCCTCCGAAAGTCCATTACGATGTCAAATATCCACCCATTGGATCAGCCTACAACTATGAGTTATACCCATCACGCTCTTATGCGCCATATCTACGCCGTTACGATCGGTGAGTCTATATATTTTTTTATTAATAAAAAGAGGTAAAATTTAAATATAAGATAATTTCCTTGAAGCTTCGACGAACAGTATTCGCGTTACGATCCCTACAACTATGAGGACCACTATTTACATCGCCGACATTACGATCCTTACGACAGCTATAGCCCCCGCATGCCACAATATCCTGAACTTTACTATAACTATCCCGATCGACGGTACGACATTCCAGAGCCCAGAGACTATGTACCACTATACAATAATGAAATCTATGATAAAACACCATATCCTGCCGCTAGTTATCCCCCTGCCAACACTTATACATCGTCGAAGTATCCCGACTATCCACGAAGCCAACGTCGAATCGTGTATTACGCACATTTGCCAGAAATTGTACGTACACCCTACGATTATACCAACCGATACGATCGCTATGACGACCTAATGAAGGCGAATAAGGCGATCGCCGGTGCGTACAAATACGATAAACCACCGACTTCGGGTAGTGGAAGTGCCGTAGCAACAAATACCGACTCTTACGACTACATGAAGCGAGATAAGAAAGATCGACCAACGCCAAAACCAGTTAAACCAATCACCAGCGGCAGACAGTAGTTAAATAACTCGATTGGCGTTGGAGATGATGGTTTGTAAAAAAAAACCGTAAAATAATAATGCAAAAAGTACTCGAATTATTTAGTCAGCACTTGATTTTTTACTTAAAAATTTAGGAGATTAAGCGAGGGTGGTTGATAGATTGATTTCTTAATTGCTCACTCTACAGCACAAAAGCAGAATATTAATGCCCGAAGATTTGTGACTTTCCATTTATTTTTTAATAAAATTAACTATCTAAATTTATTTTAGGTTATTTTTAAAATCTTTTAGTCGGTTAATATTCCTTTAGATTTTTTTAGGGCTAAACTGGTTATGCTTATTGATATTTGAACTTTGTTTTTGACCACCCTAATGTAGACGTTACTTTAAGTGAATGCTTCAACAAAAGTATTATATTTGCTTATATTAATTAATCTATATCTACATATATTGATATAGATTTTACAATAAATTTCCACATAAATATATATACGCAGTGTGTAACATTTTCAATTTTTAATCCGATATAAATCGGATGGCAGGCAGCTCATGCTCATTACACTTAAGTAATCAAAAGAAAACAAGAATTTTAATTTGCAAGTCAATTTCAGCACACTTTGACATACCAGCGGATGGGCAGCGCTGGCTGCGGCCCAACATTTTAATTACACTCCTCGCTGCACTGTGATGAGGCTGAGTGTGTGTGGGTGCGTCTGTGATTTTACATGGGAACGGCAGAGAAACTGCTATGTCACTCTTCAGTGATCCAGGGAGCACAAAACAAAGAATCAAATTTAACAAATATTCCGGTCAATTTGAACGCCAACACCGGCGACAACCGAAACGGTCCAATGCGCGGGCTGCCACTGGCGGACGGATGATGGCACAATGCCCGACCACAAATTTGCATTCCCTTTGAGTTGGCTGGCTACGATTGGCAGCGTCACTTCCGACTGCCCGCCGGAAATATGTTTAATCTTGCGTTAATAAAACGGTGACGCTTGGACCAGCAATCGTTTACGTAAACACATACATACGTGTATGTACCAACGCAGTGGTAGCGTCGATGTGACTGCGTGTGTGTGTGTGTTATTGTACACGTGCATAACTGTGACCCATGGAATTCCGAAATAAAAATACTTGTTTTAAGTTGTGGCTCGTTGTATGCCGTATGTGACAGTGTGTGTGTGTGTGTGTGCGTGTGTATGTGTGTTGGCGAGAAGGGTGTGGGCATTTGTGAGCCATTTTAAATTCATTAAAATTTTGTATTAAAGCATGCATGTATTGGTCTAGGTACTATGTAAGTAGGTCTTTTACAGAAAGCGCACTCAGAATGCAAACGCCGCCACTGGGCTGTGCAAACTTTGCTCTCAGCCATACCCGCATTCAGACTCGTGCGGCACTACACAGGCGGTGACGAAAGTTAGCTTGTTTGTTTTAGAATTTTGTTTATCAATTCGTACGAAGTTGACGTCGCTGACGGTGGTCAATACCGGCTGTGGTTACAAGTTGGTATTTGGACCACAGCAGTGAGAGTGCTGCAGTACTTTTTGTGAGCTGAATTGGGGTATTAAGAGAATTTGAGGAATTCTTAATTAAATTTACGATATGCAACAGCTTCAGCGGCTCCACGAGTAAATGAGCTGCTTAATACTCGACGTGGATCAGCAAGTGGATATGAGTGGCTTTTTAGTTTATTTTTGGTTTCCTTGCGAGTTGTGAGTTTGAGACTATCCTCTTGTGTACTACAGCAACTGAAAAACTTTGACGCTTAAGAAGTTTTCCTTTGTTGTTTAGATAAGGCAAGTGACGGACGAATTTCTGAGTTGCTCCAATTACTGCGTTGGTCAGAATGAAAGCTGAAGAAGTAAAGGGCAAGTAAAATTGTATTCGCTGAAGCAATTGTCGGTCGAGCTCCACCTCCGAAATGTGGTCTTGCGTCTTTATGTTTTTCCAACAAATGGCCTACAACTTAACGGCAGATGGATTTTTATGAAGAGCTTTGGCTTGACATTCTCTACCAAGGGGCGACCGCGATTAAAAACTTAGACTTCTAAAGTTTGGATCTTAGTTAAACCTGGACTCGAGCCAGTTCAAGCTCATATAGAAGTGTAACAAAGGGTCTTAGTCCTTGCTGCGGCATGCCAGCGACTCCAGAGGCCGCCTATTTTACTCTTTAACCCACTGGTTAATTAAAACACAGATGTTTTTGTTTCCCACACACCCGGAGTGTCTCGCTGGTCGGTGAATTCGTACTGTCTCGTACATTTGGATCGGTGCGTAGTAACTCTACTTAACGTCCGTGCGATCTTTTCGGTTCGGCGATTAAAAATCAACTCACTTGTGTGCTTTTCAAGTCTACCCAAGTGTCTCAAAAACCTAACTATCCAGATGTCGTGTAGCGGCCTCGTTAGCGTCATTATAGGAACGGCGCGGAAGGTTCGGAACATAGAAGCGTAGCATATGTCATGCCACTACTATGAAATAACGGATTCGGAGATGCCAAGCCTGAGGAAAAGTCTACCCATTCGATACCTTCAATGCAGAGGAGTTTGGACGGACTGTAATTACAACTATCTACATAGTTACGTCCTGATCCAATTCTGCATTACACCATTCGTAGGAAAATATCAGAACACATACCACACATCGGAAGTGGAGCTCGGCTGAAAATCGCTTAGAAGACTATTTATTTCTATTCATTTTTATTATGAAGGCATCCTTATTAGTAAAACGGGTCATCAATTTGGGTCTATGTTTTTCAATATAATGTCAGCGAACTAGCTGATCGATCTCCGACTGCCGTACCAATTGTGCCCGCGTAAGAATCAACAAATAGCTCTTATAAGTTTCTCCAGATCTTTATAGGATTCGTGGTCTTGAATGATGTTTTTTTGCGGATCTCAATCCACAGGATAATGGCTTTTGTACATGCAGAAGTTATTATTTGAATCTTTTTGTTGTTTTTCCCTTGCCATCACCTTCTCATATGCGCGCACTACGCACTCGCCAAAGTATTTGGTCCAAACCAAAAAAAAAGGCTGATTCTTAGGATATACGAGTATATATATATGTATGTAGTACGTGTATGTGCTTGTGTGGAATGATTTGAATAAAGTTTCCTGTCGACTAAAGTTTCCACAAGTAAGAAAATTTAGAATGATTTAAATGCATATACATATATATGTATGTATTATATGAGTTATGGCAATTACCTGTGCCCATCTACAAATATAAAAGTGTATGTGTGTGTGTGTTTGTTGGTTTAAAGATGAATATAATATGTGAATTCTGTTGGCACATCGCGCTTTCATAATTCATAAAATGCAAAGACAATGCCAAAGGTGATGAAATTATTACGCGCAACGTTTGTCGCTAATAATAACGGCATCTCGCTGCTACAAAACCAAACTGAGCAACCAGCGGCAGCTTGAAGGCAACCGGAAGCGTCGTAAAGTCAGAATCCACCGGAGCGAAGCCCAAAAATGAGCCCATCAGCCCAGGATTAGAGGAGAGTCGGTCGGCTGGAAGATAAATGGCAACTTAAATGTGAACGACCAAGCATAAAGCGCAAGAAAGTGATGTT